ACTTATACTAAGTTTACTTATATTCTATAAGCTAATTAAATTATATACTTAAGGGGCTATATTATAATATTATTAATTAAATAACTTTTAATTATATTTAATATAATTAAAAAAAGCTTTATATAAATATATATAATAATAATTAAAATACTATAACCTATAATAATATTAATTTTTTTATTATTTACTATTATATTATTTTCTTTTCTTTTTTTAAAAGTAGTAATTAGTTTAAAGAAAAGCTATATTATAATAATATAAATATTATATAATATTTTAATAAACTTATATTATTTATTATATTTACTATAAATCTTTATTAGTTAAAAATTATATATAAATTAAATAAAAAAAATTTAAAATTTTTTTAAACTTTATTATATATATTTTTAATAGTAAATATAAAGTTTTATTTAAAAATTTATAGAAGATTTTTAATATTATAATTAATTATTTTTAAATATTAAAAGTCTAAAAACATAGTCTCTTTTATATATATATTTTAATTTTTCTAAAAGAAGAATTTTATTTTTCAAACTAGAACTATATTAATAACTTTATTTATATTAAATTACTAACTTTTATAATAAATATTATTAACTATTTTATAAATATTATTAAATTATTAAAAATATATAGTCTCTATAATAAATTAAACTTTATTTTAAATTATATAAATAAAATAAAAAGTATTTTTAAATAAAATTATATAATTTTTTAAAAGTTTTTTAATTTTAAAACTATTATTATAAAGTTTAAATATTTTTAATATAAATACTAATTAAATAGCTATATTTAGAATAAATATATATATAATTATAATATTCTTTTAAATAACTATTAAATAGTTATATATAGTTTTTATTTAATTTCAAAATATAATATATATATTTATATTAAAGAATATATTTTTATAAAAGCTATTAAATATATATATATATATATAAATAAATATATAAAAATAGAAACTATATTATAATAATAGTATAAATTAATTAAATAAAGTTATATATTATTTAAATAATTATTATATTAAATTATAATAAATAATATAATATTTATTTAAATATAATATATATAAGAAACTTTTAACTATATAGATTTCTATAATATATTTCTCTAGCTAGTAGCTAATTTATTTTACTAATAATATAAATAATATATAAATAATATTAATTTTAAATAAATTAATATTTATTTTTATAGCTTTTTTAAATATAATATTAAATATATAAATAAATATAATACTTTATTTAAGAATTTTCTAAATATTTATATATTTTTTAAAAATTCTATAAAGTTAGCTTAAAAACTTTAATAATATAGATTTATAATTAATTATATATATTTATAAAAGTAATATATAAAAAATATTTTTATATTTAAAAGTTTTTAATTATTTATAAAAGTATAATTAACTTTAAAATTTTTTATATAATTAATAAAGTTCCTTATCTTATTTTTAAATAAGCTTGTATTACTTTAAAATTATTTTATAATAATTAAATATAAATTTATTATTTTAAAAATATAGTTTTCTTTTTTATTAGTACTAGTTTATATTATCTTTTACTAAGTATTTTAATTTATAATAATATTATTAAACTTTATAATATTTTAAAGATAATTTAAATAATATATTTATAATAATTTACTTTTTTATATATAATACTATTTTTTTATTTCTTTTAAGTTTCTAAATTCTTATTATAATAATAAATTATTTTTAATTAAATAAATTTTTATAAATATAAATTAGTTTTTTATTAAATTTTATATATTTTTTCTTATTTATAATAAAATTATATTAAAATAAATTCTTTAATATATAATAAAATAAATTATAATATTTTTATTTAAAAATATTTCTAAGATTTATAAACTATATAATTTAATATTAAATAAAATATATATTTTAATTAGATTTATATAGCTATTAAATAAGATTTATATAGCTATTAAATAAGATTTATATAGCTATTAAATAAGATTTATATAGCTATTAAATAAGATTTTATATATATATATTTCTTTTCTTAAAAGCTAATTAAAATTAATAAAACTTTCCTTTATATTACTTTTTATATATATTATTATATAAAAAATAAAATTATTTTATATATTATAATATTAAGTATAATTTTTTATTAAAAATTTAACTTTAATTTTAAAGTTTTTTTTAATTTTAAATAAAAATTCTTAGTTTATATATTTCTTAATTTACTTTTTTATTATTATTTATTAATTTCTATAATATTAAAAATTACTAGGTTATTTATATTTATTTAAAATTTTTTTTTTTATTAAGATCTTAGAATAGTAGTTTAGAAAATTAATAAAATTTTAATTATAAATAAAAATTTATTTAAGAATTAAATAAAAGTAAAAATAAATATATATACTAAGCCTAATTAGGCTTAGCGCCTACTCTAAGTAAATGCTTATACTAAGCTAGGCCTAGAACTATTATCCTTTTTATTTAATTATAATATTATTATTATACTTTATAAGACTTATAATATATAAATACTTATTACTAGTTTAGTTAAATAACTAACTATATATTACTTATAATACTTATAGTAAATATAGTACTTATAGTTCTATTAACTATAAATAGCTTATATATTATAAATATTTTTAATTATATAATATTATTTATTTTATAATAAATAGTTTACTTTTTAATTATTAATATATTTATTATAAATACTTTTAATAAAGCTTTATATATAAATTATATTATTATTATAGTATTTAGGCTCGCTATTTAAAATTTACTTTCTTTTATATTTATAACTTATTACTATTTACTAAGCTAACCTAGCTTATATATAACTTAAACTAGTTATTATATAGCTTTTATATAGATAAATAACTATTATAATTATATATATTTATTTATAAATAATATTATTTTTATATTTTATAGGTTTCCTTTTTTAATTAATAATTTTATTTATTTAATTATTATTATTTAATATAAACTTAGAAACTCTATTTACTTTTATTTTATTTTTTATTTTATTATTATTTTTTTATATAATTTTTAAATATATAAGTATTATTTAAATCTATATTTTTATTTAATTATATAATAATAATTAAGATTAAAAGTAAATGTTAATTATTATTTACCTTTTAATAAAGTTTATTTTTATAATATTATTAATTAAATATTATAATAATAATAATAATCTTAGTTCTAATATTAAAAATCTACTTAATAATAAAAACTAGTTCTTAAAAAACTTAGAAAAGATAAGGAAAACTAAGATAATAAATTAGTTTTATTTTAAGTAAAAAACTTACTTATATACTTAATAAAAATTATTATATAATAATCTTCCAATTTAAATATATTTACTATTATATAAAAGTAGTTTATAATACTTACTAAGCTCTTAACACTAGTAAGTTTATATTACTAGAATATATAACTAAGATTATAAAATTAATTAAACTTTTATAAATAAATTATAATATATTAATAAGTTTATATTATTAAAAGAAATATATTAAAAATTATAATAAATAGTATTTTTAAAAATTATTAAAATACTTAGAACTATATTTAATAATCTTAAAATATTAAAATAAGTATTAAATATTTTTGTTTAAAAATCTAGTAATTAATATATTAAAATATAAATTATATATAAATATATTATAATTAATATAAAATATATAATTTAAATTATTAAAGTATTTACTACTAGCTAATAGAATTTATATTAATATTTAAATATAAGGTATATAAATTAGCCTTTATTTAACTAAAAGATCTTAGTCTCTACTCTTATACTTATTGTAATAGCTAATCTAGTAGTACTATTTGTTGACCCTACTTTGGCTGAACGCTCTAATGATACCGACGCTACGTTCTCTCCTTGAGGCAGCCGCTTAAAGGAAGCGGACGCTCGTTTCGCTCCCTGGGCTAAGCGCGACGCCATCCCTGATAATGAGGCTGATGCCGGATTCTCTCTATGGGGCACGCGCTATGATGAGTAGTCGGCTGGTAGACTCTGGACACAACGCACTTCTTCGTGTCCTAAATCCACCGACCATCACAAGCCGGAGAGCACAAGTGGAACGGCAACAACATGGTCTATGTCGATTGTCTTGGTCGCGAGTCTAACGAGAACTTGCGTATGGAGGGTATGGTCGTCAGTGGTAGCTAAAAGATGTATGAGATCGTTGTTCGCCCTTGTTTTGGGCTGTATGCTGGCCTAAGGGAACAAACGTTCGTTTTCCCTACAGTCGCTGAAATAGAAACTTCCTACATATGTAGTTCCAGACAATAGCAAAACCCATTTTAGAATGAGTTGAAGTGCAAGTGAGCAGTGCAAACTCCGTCACTCTTACACGCAACGCTAGTCCTTGGTTCATCTGTGTCATTAGCGTGCTCAGCTTAGACCACTGGAGTGAGTGAAGACATGAATTTGTGCATAAATTGTATCAGTCTGTGATGTCGCGGTCAAATAGTATGCTTGACGTCGCGAGAGTCGGTAAGCGCAGCGGTAGACCTCGGACATGCAGGGTTGGCCCTCTCTAATCATTGTTCGGATCGAAGAGTCACATTGCGGTCCTTCAATCTCTGGGGTCGGAGCTTTTGCAAACTTTAAAAAGTCTTCTGAATACGGTGCTAGTGCTTTCCAAAACATGGGAGTTTGATCAATTTTCATACAAATGCTGCCATCGATTGCGTTAGCAACTGTGGCTTCTGCCTAAGAATTTCTGTAATAAAACCCGCTTCATCATAACGTAAACCGGTTCACACGCTTAGACGGCACCGATGCGTAGACCGACGAGTTTGGTAGATGCTGGCTTGAGGATCAAAAGAAGCCCGAACTGGAAAACAAGCTCTGCGAAGTACGGGACTTCTTGTCATCGAAGAAGGTGGAAAATCGGGGTTGATTCTCGAATCGCATCTCTTACTGCGGCTGACAGTGCTGATTTATTCGAAATTCAATCATAGAGAACCAATGGATTCATGATATCTAAGGGATCAGCCATGAGTGTACGTCAGGTTGGGCCAACATCGAACATGTTTCATCCGCCTTCCAGGGAATGATACTATTCAGCCTTGCGTTCGTGAAATAATCAGCACCGTCCGTAAAGCAGATGTGTGGTGTATCGAAGGTCAGATAACTTATGGATTGGAGTATCCCGTATATGAGTAGCCACCGCATCTTTCGGACGTCGTGAGGGTCCTCTTTCCCCGAGTTGTCCACTCTGTCAAATTTGATGAAAGATTCGACTAACAAATTGTTCATGACATTGGATGATAGGATATTGGCGTCGCTAGCCTCATTAGAGAAAGGGAGAGTTCGCTTCTCGGTAGCTTTTGTTCGGCTGCCAAAAAGGGCCTTGCTTTGGCTCTTTTGTGTAAGATCACCTGCCGAGACCGATCGGGGAGCAGTGGAAATGGACAGGGGACGTGATCGAATTTCTGTTTCTGGTCGAAGGCCCTGATTACCGCATCGAGACGCCATTCCTCGGCATTGCGAGAGCGCAATGGCCTTCTATTACTCCTGTAGATCATGCTTTGATTTGCATCATCCCACACGATATCTTGATCAACGTAGTATCGGTACAAAGCGCCGAAGTCTTCTTTGAGCCTTGCGACAAGGTTTCGCGTCAACCACGCGTCACATCCTTTCGCAGGTCGCGGAGGCCAGCTCTTGTACACTTTTCCATAATGTCGTTGGAAGAAGCGCCGAAGGGCGCTGAACCGCGCAGGAACCGACCTTTGGCTCTGTCCGCCGATCAGCCACATGTCATCGAAATGAAATGTGGCAAGCCTCTGCTCCGCTTGCTCAATTTTGATGGTGAGCTCAAGCTTGGACCGCTCAAGAGACGATCGGGTAGTGTGACTAAGATCACCAAACTCGGGCATTGGTCGCAGCTTGGAATACATGCCAGTGCAATGAACGTATCCCTCTCGCCAACCTTCCAGCCATAAGTTGTCTTCACTCCACCCAAGCAATCCCACAGCGGCTGAAGGCTCGTTGCTCACATTATGGAACCGGTTCCTGATTAGATAGTTGATAATGGTTTCGGCAGACGGGGAAGTGGGAGCAAGGTCCTCTAGTCGCTCCTGAAGGTCTACTAGGGCTTGGTAGAAAGTCAAGCCGACTAAAGGCTTGTTCAGCAGCAATGCAAATACATTGCGCGTTGTGAGGTGGTATCTCAAGATGTCAAGTCGGGATGCCTCAAGTGGTGCTGGAAAATATATGTCACGACAGACATGAGCCTCCACTCTGGGCCTCAAACCTGCTCTGGGAGATTTCCTCCCTATGGCTAGCGATTTGAAACCGCCTAGTGATGAAAGAGCTTTCGTGGACGGAGAGAACGACCGTGAGTCTTTGGCGTCATGTAATTTAGACATGAGATGATCAGACTTCATCTCCTCGAGTAGAGATGCTTTGATGAGAAAGGAAGGTGTCGGGCGCTGATATCCAAAGTAAATATAAGTATCTCCGCCTTCATCCCACAGCTCAGGATCTTGCATAAGCTTCCCCCAGAGTTCAGCGGGACGGCCAGATCCGCTCCATCTCTTTGCACTGGCAGCCTGCTCGAGTCCTTTCAGCTCAACGCGACGCTCCGCCCGAGATCTTGTCGGGTGCGTTGCTTCAATTACAACTCGAGAGCCCAACTGTAATGCGCCAAAGTGGTGACCTAGACCTCCGTTTGCCTGCCCTTGGCCGCCATGGTCGCCGTTCTTCTGAAAGAATCCATCACCGGCTCTGTTTGGACCCGTCGATCCCGACGAAATAGATGTACAACGCGAACTCTCGACGTCAGCTGCTGAAGATTCTATGTGGATCGAGGTGCGGCGTAATAACCATTGCCCGTGATTATGAGGGCGCGGATCGCCGTCCTTTGATTCTAAGACATTGTTTGATTCGCTGTACCGTGGCGGAGGGGAGAAATCCCGTGGGCCATCCACGTCGGCAGGCATTCGGAGTAGAAGTACTTGGTCACTCTAAGATAATTCCAAGGACCATGAAGGTGGCTAGGCTAGCCTGATCTCTTCTATGTCGACGATTTCTGAAGAACGAAAGCGTCTTTGCAGCCACAAGCTGTTCTTCAAGAACGATAGCCCGTTCGATAAGATCGACATTTCAACGAGCGCCAGCCATTAGTGCGTTGTATGGGGGGGAGGACTCTACGTTTCGCATCTTCACACCAAAAATATCATAAGAGATAGATCTAGTTGGATCAAGTTCACCGTGCGACCAGAGTCACCTAAGAGAAGGAGCGAGGCGAGCGCAGATAATGCACAGCGGACAGCAGGTTGCCCACGGGCACAACGAGTCCACCATGAGCATCGAGCATCGCAGTTATTGGCACGTACCGTCTGTCTGTGCTTCTGGTCGCTCTTTTGAAACAAAAGGGATGATTTGTTATTGGTGCGGGTGGGCAACGTCTCAGGAGTGGCAGTCGTGGATCGCGTGAGGCCCCTAGCGCGCAATCTAAACCGGGGCCTGCATAGTGCTCACACGGTCTGGGCGACCCCTTAGAACCGACATCACGTGTTGCCTATGCATTTGGTTTTTGGAAACTGGCATGAGTGCTTGCGGTAGTCAAGTAGTATTAACGACCAGGCTTTGCTGTTTTCGTGAGAGACACGGACGATCCCCAAAGAAAACAATCTGGTCATTCGCGATACCGCGACGCGAAGGTATGTACCTTACAGTCGTTGAAAACGGCGGCTTGTAGCGGGGAAGCAGGAAATTGCGCAGTCCCACTAGGTATAGGGAGTTGAAAGCTGGGGAAATTATAGAGTTTGGGGTTGACTCTAGCAACCTTATATCCTGAGCGATGAAAGTATGGGGAAGTTGCACGTGGCGGCCATGGCCCACGACCCGTCAGCTTCCGCACCAACAACCAACACCGCCAGGCACCTTGGTACCTAGTGACGGAGACAGATTCTTGCAGCATTCCGAGACTTGCACTCATTGGGCCTACTCGGCGCCTCGCGGGTAACTGCCCATGCCTTGCGGTGCTGGCTACGGTGGCGACCAACATGCCGCCCAATAATGGCCGCTTGTGGTCGTCAAGCTTCGCCTGTACGCCGTACGGTGCACTATTATTGACACAGGTACAAGGTAGGTAGCGCAAGCCGACTTCACCAAGGTTACCGGTATCCTAGGCTAGGAACAGATCAGGCCGCGTCTGGCCTCTATACGCTCTCGATAGGGAGCCAAGCGTGACAATAATGCACTAATCCATGAGTGCTCCAAGCTTATGCGATCCAATGACCAAGCAGTGCAAGATATCGTTCATCTGCTGCATGAAAGACAAGCTTCCTCTCCATGGTGACGTGCCCATCCGCCAGTCAATTGATCAGTTCCGCACATTTTGCGTATTTCCAATGTGACCACAACCAAAACTCTTCCACAGCGTTCTATCACCCCTAGCTTTTACTTGGTCGATGACTTGATCACTATCCTTTCTGACCTGGCTCAACTACATCTCGCGCCTCGCTCAATGTGCTATTAAGGTCATTCTTTGCGCACCTCCTTCCAAGACAGTATTGCAATACTGAAGCTTGGGCTGACTTGAATTTCATTGAGAAAGGCCCATCCATGTCCTTGCTGCGGGCGTAAAGTCGGCGTAGCGGGTCTTGCAGGGAAGATAAGCTCAACGAATCTGGCTGTGCAACCAGTGCGTAATGGCATTCGCGATTGCTACACTGTGGCGTACTCCTGAGATCAATTCAGTTAGCAGTAAAGCCAGGTCGGTCCCTGTCTTTAACCCATTTAATATTTACGGACGGGTCTTTCTACTTTCCTGGTTCGGATTTTTCATAGCATTTTGGTCCTGGTATGCCTTCCCGCCTCTCCTGACGGTAACGATCAAACACGATATTGGGCTCTCGCAGGCAGACATTGCGAACTCGAACATACTTGGCTTAGTCGCAACTCTTTTGGTTCGATTAGGGGCAGGAAGTGCTTGCGATCGCTTCGGGGCGAGGCGTACATTTGCCGTCATTCTCCTCGTCGGCGCTATACCCACCGCTCTTGCAGGTACCGTTCAGACACCGGGCGGTTTGATCGCCGTGCGATTCTTCCTGGGAATCCTTGGAGGCACCTTCATTCCCTGTCAAGTATGGACCACAGGCTTTTTCGACAAAAACGTTGTAGGAACGGCGAATGCTTTGACTGCGGGTTTTGGGAATGGTGGTTCCGGCGTTACGTACTTCCTCATGCCAGCCATATTTGATTCGCTAGTCCAGCATCAAGGACTTACAGACCATGTAGCTTGGAGAGTCACATTTGTGATCCCTTTCATTCTTATCACCACGACAGCGATCTTGATGATCCTCACATGTCCTGATACCCCAACAGGCGGTTCATGGTCTTCACGATGCCGAGATATGCAGCGCCAGATAGACATGAGAGACACCTTCTTCACCACTGTCGGTGATCGTAATAATCATGCGCCGAGCCTTGACCTAGGAAATATTTCCAATGACACAGTCAAACTGAACTCCAGCCGTGCAAGGGATGACAGCTATGGAGTGCAATCACACGAAGACGATCTTCTAGCGGCCGCATCTTGGGAATTGGTGGAAACTCCAACATACCAGGGCACGGCTAGAGCAGTCTTCTCCCTTCCGACCGCCTTTCTTGTTGGAGCTTACTTTGCAACCTTCGGGACCGAGCTTGCTGTGAACTCGTTCCTCGGCGCTTATTACCACAAGAATTTTGATGGTCTCGGTCAAACGGGATCAGGAAACTGGGCGGCGATGTTCGGCTTGCTGAATGTTGTGTTTAGGCCCGCAGGAGGCATCATAAGTGACATTTTATATTGGCTTACTGGTTCGCTGTGGGCTAAAAAGGCGTGGGTGTTTTTCCTCGGTTTGATGACCGGCGCGTTTCTGCTAGTCATTGGTTTGCTCGATCCCAAGTCACTGTCCGTCATGGTAGGCTTGATGTGTGGTCTGGCATTCTTCCAACAGGCTGCGAACGGCGCCTGTTTCTCCCTTGTCCCTCACGTCCATCCAACCTCAAATGGTGAGTCACTCTTATAAACTGACAATCTCAGCTTGGAGAGTATCTTCTGAAAGCTCCACAGGTCTAATAACGGGAGTTACTGGCGCTGCTGGCGACCTAGGCGGAATCATTTTCTTACTGATCACCCGATATAGTGGTGATGCTTACGGGAGAGCGTTTTGGTTGATTGGAGCCATTGTCATCGCGGTATACCTCCTCACCTCATGGATAAGACCAATTCCAGCTGGCCAACTGGGAGGTCGATAACCTTGATCGTGTAAGCAAATAGGAAAGAGAAGCGAAAAATCCTATATCTACTTCCGGGAGTCTGGAATGTTGAAATGTCGATCCGATTTGCTAAAACTATTATTTTAACAACTCTCTCATCTGAAGGCTGCCTTGCGTCATGTTGAGCTTGGGATCGTCCACGAAGTTCAAACACTGTTGGCAAAAAGTCGACGAACGCAAGTTTGCGCAATTCTTGATTCGAGATCGGTACTCTCATTTTCGAAGTGTTCAGATACCGGTGTCACGCCCAAGACAATAGTGTAAGGCTTCGAGCTCAAAGTTCTCTGTGATTTTATGAATAGAAACACGGTATGTACGGAAGCTAACGTATGTAGACTTGTCTCCTAAAGAGTCTTGGCAGTCATTGCAGACGCTCGTCTTGCCAGCTGGGTACAACTTTGCATGAGTCAGCTATGACAAGCTCTCCTATTTACTAGACGTATTCTGTGCGGTATCATGGGTGGTTTTCTTGAACAGCGGCGCCTTCGCTTACATGGTGTTCAGCTTGGCAATGTCTCGTCTATGCTCTTCCTCAAGGGCACTTTGCTTCTTAACATACTCTAGGACAAGCTCCTCTTCCTTCTTCTTTCTCGCTATTTCGTCCATACGATGCTCATGCGCTTTTTTGGATAGCTCGAGAGTGTCTTCAAAGTCGCGATCTTCCGTAGATGATTCACGAGAAGATAAGTCTATCTTCCTGATGGCAGCTTCAACCTGCTGTTCATCGTCTGTCTCGATGCCCGAGTCGTCAAAATGATCGCGATTTCGGGAGCTTTCGTTTCCATTTCCAATCGATATTTGCTGACTTTGGAGGCTCTGCTGCAAAGACGCCTCAAGCTGCTGATCATTCAAATCTCCAATAGCTTGGGGTTTTCCCGCATCCGTACGTCCATGCTTTGCTTCTGCTACAGAAGCATGGATAGCTCGCTGGATTTTGTCTTCATCACCCCTTACTTGCGAGGCAGATTGTAGTTCCAAAACACTTGCCCGAATAGCGCGCTCAACTAAAATATCTTCCTCTGGATTACCCCGAGAAGTCGCGGCTACGGAAGCTTGTATGGCCTCTTCAAATTCCTTCGCGTCTCCCTTCACTAACGGCTTGGGGTTTGTAGATAAGCTGTTCATTTCCTGGTTGAGTGACACGCTTGGGGTTGCTCCAGTACCTAGCACCGTCTTCTCACTCTGCCCAACGCTTGCCTTCTCCTTTCCTTCAACGTGTGTATGCCATTTCTTGTAGAGCGTACTAGAATCTTGGAAGTTCCCGTGATGACCTTGTCTCCTCTGTTTATCGAGCTCCACCTGGATAGCCTGCCACTGACTGACAACCTCAAGCCGTTCTTCAGAGGTAGATTTGCTCCATTCGTGGTACCCTTGTGCGGTTCTAGCAGCAATGATATAATTCTGAACACTAGATCCAAAGTGCTTCTGAACTTCCTTGTAGATACCCTTGAAAGTATAACCAAGAATTCCCCAGCCAGCTTGATCGCAGAAACCGTCAGACTACTCCCATTACGTAGCGGGTCAGAATTACCTGCGTTTGGCTTGAGGACAACCCCACCAATGCCTTTGCCAAACCCTTTTACAAGGCCAGCGATACCTTCCTTTTTGGCACCATCAATCGGCTGAGTGACAAGGCCAGTTATACCATCCCACATACCGTAGCCGAATTCCTTCATTCGTCAGCATAAATCCAGGCACCAGGTAGGCCATTCACCTTTCCAGCAGCCTTAAGGCCACTTTGTATGCCAGTCACTTTATCTGACTGACGTACAGTCTCGTCGCCGTATAATTTTGGCGCGTTGTGGAAACCCCTGGCAATGCCAAGCGTGAAGTCCATAGGGGACTTAACCCCCGCGCTCACCATTCGTCCAATGCCTTTGCCTGCACCAACTGCAGCATCCAGTGTTATGTGACCGGAACTCCTTCTATGGTGTAGCTTGTTAGACCGAGGCTCTCGTCCGTCTGCACTAGAGGCTCGAGAACGAGATCGAGAGCGCGAGCGCGACAGCGATCCACGCAGCGCGTGCGCCATTGCACGTGGTGGGCAATTGCTGTTCTTGGAGCTGATCGGAGTGATCGCTTCGGCTTCGGCACCTGTTGAAATTTGATCAGGCTCGGTCGTCTGCATCGATGACAGCGTAGCGGTACTATCCAAACAATCACTGGATCGAGAAGTCTGTCTTGTGGCATTAGATGAATTATCTACCGCGCTCGCGCTATGAACATCCTCGTCTTGGGAAGCCTGTGAGTTTTGATCCTTGTCAGTGGGTTTAATCTTTAGCGCTCGCAGAATCTCAACTGGAAAGTCCGCAGCGCCCATGGCAAGGCTACAGAAGGTTCCGATCAGTGCAGAAGCACCACCAGATATTGGATCCCATGGACCGTCTTCCGTGTCATACTCTTTAGGTCTGTAAAGCTTGAGTTCATTAAAGTCCAGCAGGCCATCGTTACCGAGTGTGGTAGCGGCAAAAGTGCTCAATCGAAGCTGCGTCCGCTTTATACGCCAGACGGCTGCTTTATTTGGCATCAGCGAGCATCGTAACGAAGGCAGGTCGAGCTTCTCGTGGAAACTATCCGCGCCATTCTTAGTTCCATCCTCGGACATGATCATAGCACCTAGGTCTTGGGCCCTGGCTAGGCTTGTTGGCTTCAAAGCCTCCAGAATACCAGCCGCAAGATTTTCAGCCGTTAAATGCTTGCTGGGAATCGGCTTCGGTCCCGCGCCAGCTCTAGCCACCATTGCGCCCCAGAACGGTTGGTCGCCAAAGAAAGGAACAACAACGGTTGGCTTGCCTAAAGCAATGCCGGCTGCGGTAGTACCTGCGCCTCCATGGTGGACGACACAGGATACACGCTTGAACAACCAGTCATGGGGCACATTGCCTAACATGAAGACATTCTTGGGTATCCCTAGCTCGTCGGCCCCAAAGCCACCCCATCCTTTGGAAACCAGGGCTCGCTGCCCAGTCTTCTTGACTGCTTCGAAGATTAGTTTCGTCATTGCCGTGGGATCATCCACGACGATGGATCCAAATCCAAGGTACACTGGAGGTGGACCCGAGTCAAGAAAGGCTTGAAGCTCAGGTTCTGGAGAAAAGCTACTCGCCAGTGAAAGAAAGTAAAATCCTGAGATCGAGATGTGGGAGCCCCAATCCCTTGGTTTTGGTATCAAGGCTGGGGACCTGTTTTCAAGCCATTAGAATAAGTAGCATGTAGGAAAGAAAAACGCATGCTCACCAACAATATGTGTAAGGAATCTGAAGCCGACTTGCCATACCAGGGGCCCACATCAGGCTTACAGGCTCTAACCCTAGGCTTTTCTCGCGGAATCGATTGATCATATCTCCGAGTCCTTGCCAGGTCATCATTTCCACGAGTGCGTATGATATAAAGTTAGTAAGGCTAGTATCAGCGTTTGAGGATTGGATGTTAGCCAAAGGATGCGGAAAGGCTTGAGTCGGGGACCATGGCATGCTAGAGCACTTCAGCAACGCCTGAAGTAGCGCTATAGTGACAGGCTTACGTGAACATGAGATGAAGCGGGATACCAAGCTTTTCAGCGCAATGTACGTGAGCGAAGCTCGGAGGGTTTGCGATGATGGCATCAGCGACGAAAGGCTGTGCCAAGGGGCCGCTTTCCATCCCAATGCCACTGTCGATACTCGAACGACTTCCACCAACATCATTGGTCACGGGCATACCGGTGCCATCTCCGACCTCGAAGCAGGATCTCCAGCAGCCTTGGAGTATTTCATACATTCCTTTGCGTCGTTTGCCAACATCTCCGCTCTTTAGCGAGTCCATCCCAGGCATAAGGCCAGGGTTCTTGACCATAAAAGCCATGAGTTCTGCCGGGTCACCCCCGATGTCAAAGTATTCCAGGCCACTCTCTGCGACAAAGCCTTTGAACGTCGAATGAGTGGCCAATCGCACTCTGTGATTATGAGTCTCCTTGAGAACCTTGCCGAGGGCAATGAACGGCTGTACATCGCCACGCGATCCGACTACATGTATTACTATATTAAGTGGGGGGACACCTTGGTCAGTGATGCCAGTGAGCGATGAAGGGGTACGGCCTGGCTGTTGGGTCTCGGGCTTATCCGTGTGCTGGAGATTTAGCTGGCTTCGCAACGCAGGTACAAGCAGATCCGAGAGACGGCGAGATTTTTGATGAATGTGTATGTTGAGACGTCCATCACCTAAAGAATGTCAATGCTGTCTAGGTGAACATGATCATGAAATCACGTTACTTGCAACTTTCGCCTTGGTTCCAAAGCCATCTTGGTCGAATTCAACCTGCCCATATTCAGTGCTAAAAACGGGCGGAGGTCGTTCCTCGATGGGCATTTCTTGCGTCGTTTCGGACATTCTGTGGTCTGATTTAGCATCTTTCGCGTGCTTTAGTATGAGCTCATCGTACGACGCGACATGCTTGTCGTCTTGCGAAGATGAGTTCTTTCCCTGGGTAGAGCCGCTGGCCGCTTGGGAAAGAGATTGATCATCGGTCTGTGTTCTATTGCTGCTGGCGATTGCCTCCGCTTGTGCAATTACAACCTGGGGTATCCCAGTGGCGGGCTGTTCGGACGGTGGCTGATTGGTGGTCGACATGGTAACGTCCGTTAGGTTGGGGAGAAAAGAAGAAGCTCTTGAAATGTACAGCCGCTTGAGCTAGTCATAGCCAGGTGATGTTTCGGAGAAGGGCATGAAATTCTTGCCATACATCTTGATCGGAGGACGCGGAACTGCACATTGATAGTGGCAGACCCGATTCTAAAGGTAGGGTTGAGGGGTGAGGAGGCACGTCACCTGCGGAAGGGCAGGCTCTATCTAATTGGTGCATGGGCGACTAGCTCTGGTCTTAGGTCGTCCCTTCCTACGAATCATGGAACTCCTGGTTTGATACTTCAACATCTCACATTGAATATGATCTTTCAGCTAACTAAACTCAATCCATGTACCCATCGACTATTCAAATACTCTAGCCAGGCTTCATGACGCTCTCTTCCTGTCGATCCTAAGTCCGGGCAATGCTTCAAAGAACAAGAGTCAATTTCGTTCAGGTAGAATAAAGACGACTAGATTTGTGCCATACCACGGAATTGTGTTCAGTCCGAGTGGTTGGCAGGGTGTGTGTGGTCGAATAAAGTCTAACGCCTACTTCCAGATTCATGCAAAATGGTTCTCAAACGGCACGTGAGGCAATCGCTCACAGCTTGGGTTTGTGCAGATTCAGGTCAGATCAACTCCTCTTATCATCAAATGTATCTGTCTTCGGTTTTGATATTGCCTTGCTCGTGACCTGTGCGCAGGGTCTCGGTCAAAGGCGATTGCTCAAATCCTGGGCAGTCTGGGTACGACAGTGTCCGGAGGCTTGGGGACAATGACTTCAGAATGGAGGGTTTGCCTACTTTTAGAAACTTGCGGTCCTTGGTGGAGTATCTAGGGAAAATGCGAAGTCTAGGTTGGTGGGTTATCTTTTGCGGATTTTTTTGGATTGGCCATTTATGACCTTCCCAGCTCCTCTTTCATCAGCACTGGCACCGCTCCCTGTGCCATCCATCCACTGTTTTCCCTCGCCAGGACTTTTCCGCCTCATTACACCACGTCCAACTTCAACCATCTCATCTTCACTCTCGCTGTTACCAACATCCAGGAGCACCGGCATGCTGAAAACATCTTCTTCAAAGTCATTCTTAGTTGGCTCAACGGTGAGGACGTCGACTGCCTCGTCCTCCAAATCTAGCCGTCGCTTGTGAATTTCTTCGATAGGATGTATATCGAATTCATCTTCCCGCTCTATGTACTCAACATTTTCTTCAACTTCTACGAAATCAGGCGCAAGCGCTGACCAACGCTGTGGGGTTATGATGGACCATAGATAAATTTTGCCAGTTTCAAGGCCACAAGCAGCAATGAGTGGACGTTGAGGGTGCCACTCTACAATCCCGAGTTCTTCTCTTTGACATTCGAGAATCTTGACAAGACTGCCGTGACCTCTTTCCCAAAGGTAGATATCGTGTGTCATGTAGGTAGTTGCTGCCACATATTCACCAGTAGAGCTAAATGTTGCATGATTCCACGAGAGGCGCTGGACTACGTCTTGAAATTTATGCTCAACCTCGAGCGTACTAGAGTCGGAGCTTTGGCCCATAAGTGAGAGATCTGGTAATTGCAAGGTCCTGATGATTCTATCGGTCGCGTTGCAGACCAGGTCTCTTCCCGATGGACTCAGGCGAAGGAGGAGGATGACGCCAGTGGACATTCTGGTGGAGCTTATTACTGACCGTGATTCAACATTGATGATGTTGATCCATCCTCGGCTTGTGCCAGTAATGATGTGACTACCCATCGCATTAAAGATCGTTACACATGTGGTTTGTTTCGCATCCTGCGCTGCTTGCTTCTCGCTTACTTCCTCATTCTCAGACAATGCTCTTTTCGGTGCAGTTGGAATTGTGTGCTTAATAGGTATAGAGGAGGAAATGTCTACAAGGACTGGATGATCATCGAACAGCGCAGCGACAAAGAGGAGGCTTGATCGATGTAGGTTAGCATATCACCTAGTGCACATGGGTTGACGTACTGGTTGTATGGATGGAGCTCGGCTATGTAAATCGGCGCTTCGAATCGCACAGTCCTCAATCTCTCGCCATTGCTGAGGTCCCATAGAATACTCTTGCAATCTTGACCAGAGCTAAGAAGATAGCGACCATCATTTGACCAACTACTATACGTCAGTCGCTCCATGACAAGATCCCTGGAACTATACATCACCTCAGAGACTGTATTTGACGAGTATGGCCTCGCAATTTCCGAGCAACCCCGTTGGTCTCGACATCGAAGATGACCAGCGTCCCGTCTACCTGAAGCACAGCGTATAAGTGGCCCTGTCAAATGCCGCGATTGGATTGATGTACCCGGCCTGAAGCAAGCAAGTCACCCTTGCGGCTGAATTTGAGCGCAGTAGAATGACCGGATCCTCCAAGCAATATTAGATTTGCATTTCTCGTACAAGATCTCACGTACTTATTCTGCCTGTCAGGGCATCTGGGATATCCTGGGCGAGTATGAACGGATCAACTAAGGCGAGATTCATATCTTACGCTTCCGATGTGGGAGATAGGGAGCCAAAGATGTCATTGTGTCTTGTTTAGTTGAATTTAGAGTAATTCTGTGGTCAACCAGCGCAGATCGCGCCGCGCGAGAAGTTCTCGACTAGCGTGCCAAGACAATATGTGTCGCGCTAAAGTTCTGCCCTAAATCTCTGACTCGTTTGCGAATTTAGAGTAGACATCCCTTCATCAAAGCATCACCGGCCGACGCAACCAACTCCAAACACACGATCTTGCAATCCACGGAACGCATCAGAAGTACATTCGGTCTACATAGATGAAGTGACGAGAAAGATATACAGGTTGTAGAGGAGGGGGTAAAGGCCCTGTGGCAGCCTCGGTGGCTTGCCTACCACCTCACCCCGAATCAACTCGGTGGAGATCGGCGACATCAAAACCACAGCTATCATCACTCGTGATCGATACTTGAGCATACATGGGGTCGGGTATGAGTCGCTCGCTTCCTTGAAGTAGCCTCCACGTGCCTCAGCAGCGACTACACATTTCTGTGTCTCTGAAGCGCATAGTTACTTTCGACAATACGCCAAAATGGCAAACCTCAACTTCCAATACTCTAGTGCGCCGTTGCGCTCAATCCAAGAGGTTCAATTCGGTCTCTTGTCACCAGAAGAGATCAAGAACATGAGTGTAGCGCCGATCGAGTACCCTGAAACTATGGATGAACAGAACCAGCGCCCACGACACATGGGACTAGCAGATCCACGCCTGGGAACTATTGATAGATCTGTCAAATGTGCAACGTGCGATGAGAACATGTCCGAGTGTCCTGGGCATTTTGGGCATATCGAATTGGCAGTCCCAGTTTTCCACGTTGGTAAGCGGCCACTTACACGCTATTGACTTGCTAGACTGCTGAGATTCACTACAGGTTTCATGACAAAGACGAAAAAGCTCCTCGAAACTATCTGCCATAATTGCGGCAAGGTTCTAGTTGATGAAGTAAGCCCTCCTCGCGAGGATAGTAAAGTTCCTAGACTCCGTTGCTGACGTTGTCCAAACTTAAGAGCAACCCTGGTTTCACGGACGCTTTACGTATTAAAGACCCCAAACGCCGGTTCGAAGCAGTTTGGCGCCTTTGCAAACCGAAAATGATTTGTGAGTCTGCTGCTGTTGTTGATGAGGAAGCAGGCGCAGATGATCCAAAGAAGCAAAAACTTGATCATGGAGGATGTGGTAACTTACAACCAGAGATTCGGCGAGAAGGCCTGCGGTTGACTGGTACTTGGAAGGCTCAAAAGGGCGACGATGAAACCGAAGGCCAGCAGCCTGAGAAGAAGCCCATAAGTCCGCAAATGGTGCTGAACATCTTTCGCCATATATCCACAGACGACATAAGAACGATGGGCTTGAGTAACGACTACGCTCGTCCCGAATGGATGATTATTACAGTTCTTCCTGTACCGCCCCCGCCAGTACGACCTAGTATCTCAGTCGATGGCGGCAACGGCTTGCGCGGTGAGGACGATCTGACTTACAAGCTTGGTGATATCATTCGTGCGAACGGTAACGTTCGAAGGTGTGAGACTGAGGGTTCACCAGCCCATGTAGTCAGTGAATTTGAACAACTTCTGCAATTTCACGTTGCTACATATATGGATAACGACATTGCGGGTCAGCCTCAAGCGCTTCAAAAGTCAGGGCGCCCAGTCAAATCAATCCGCGCTCGTCTGAAGGGCAAGGAGGGTCGACTCCGTGGCAATTTGATGGGCAAACGCGTGGATTTCTCAGCACGAACAGTCATCACTGGCGATCCCAACTTGTCGTTAGACGAAGTTGGTGTGCCGCGGAGCATTGCGAGGACTCTCACATATCCCGAGACTGTGACGCCATATAACATTCATAAGCTCCACCAGCTGGTCAAGAATGGGCCCAATGATCATCCTGGTGCCAAATATGTTATTCGTGATACTGGTGAAAGAATCGATCTGAGACATCATAAGCGAGCAGGCGAAATATCTCTTCAATATGGCTGGAAAGTAGAGCGGCATATCGTGGATGGTGACTACATAATATTCAACCGCCAACCGTCACTGCACAAAGAATCTATGATGGGACACCGAGTACGAGTAATGCCTTACTCTACCTTCCGGCTGAACTTATCTGTCACATCGCCCTACAATGCCGATTTTGACGGAGACGAAATGAATCTGCACGTTCCACAAAGTGAAGAAACTCGGGCTGAAGTCAGCCAGCTATGCATGGTTCCTCTAAACATTGTTTCACCGCAGCGTAACGGTCCTTTGATGGGTATTGTGCAAGATACACTATGTGGAATCTACAAAATCTGTAGACGTGATGTCTTCCTGTCGAAAGAGCAAGTCATGAATATCCTCCTCTGGGTTCCGGATTGGGATGGCGTTATTCCTCAACCAGCGATAATCAAGCCGAAACCAATGTGGACCGGCAAACAGCTCATAAGCCTTGTCATACCTAGTGGTCTGAACCTTGTGCGTCCTGCGGACGAGGGGTTTTGCCCTGCAAAGGATGATGGATTGTTAGTTCTGGGAGGCGAATTGGTGTTCGGTCTTCTCAATAAGAAATCCGTCGGTGCAAGTGGTGGCGGTATCATACACATTATCTACAATGAGAAGGGCTCTGATGCTGCGATGAATTTCTTCAATGGAGCGCAGACTCTCGTCAATTATTGGCTACTCCACAATGGCTTCAGCATTGGAATAGGCGACACGATCCCTGATCGAGGCACCATTTTGAGAATCCAGCAAGCTGTCAACAAGCAGAAAGATGAAGTCACAAGCATCACTGATGAAGCAACACGCAATCTACTCGAGTCGTTACCAGGCATGAATGTTCGGGAGACATTCGAGAGCAAAGTCTCGAAGGCATTGAATAAGGCCCGCGATGATGCAGGGACGGTAACGGAGAAGAGCCTGAAAGATCTCAACAATGCTACCCAGATGGCGCGGTCAGGGTCGAAGGGTTCTACAATCAACATATCCCAAATGACGGCTGTTGTAGGGCAGCAGTCTGTCGAAGGCAAACGTATTCCATTTGGATTCAAGTACCGCACGTTGCCTCATTTCACAAAAGATGACTATTCGCCAGAATCTCGAGGCTTTGTTGAAAATTCGTATCTCCGGGGCTTGACTCCCACAGAATTTTTCTTTCACGCTATGGCTGGTCGTGAAGGTCTCATCGACACTGCTGTTAAGACTGCTGAGACTGGGTACATCCAGCGCCGTTTAGTCAAGGCCCTTGAAGACGTGATGTGCAAGTACGACGGCACGGTGCGCAATTCTCTTGGAGATATTGTTCAGTTTGTTTATGGGGAGGACGGCTTAGACGGTGCTCACATTGAGGCTCAGCGCGTAGACATTATCACATGTTCTGGTGAACAATTCGAGAAAAAGTTCCGCGTGGATCTTATGGATCCACAACCCGATACAAGCATTTCCCCGGAGTTCCTTGAGCAAGCTAATGAAATGATTGGAGACTTGGAAACTCAAGAGTACCTTGAGGAAGAGTACCAACAGCTCCTAGCCGCAAGGGAATTCCTTCGCAAGAACAAGCAAGACGATGTTGATCAATATCAGCTGCCGATAAATATCATCCGCATCCTCGACACAGCCAAGACGACTTTCAAGATCAAGAATGGTGCCCGAAGCAATTTGAATCCTACAGACGTCATTCCGGCAGTGAATGCTTTGCTCGATCGTCTCGTCGTTATTCGGGGGGAGGACGCACTTTCCAAAGAGGGTCAGCATAATGCTACCCTTCTCTTCAAAGCTCAATTGCGGTCACGACTCGCATTCAAGCGTCTTGTAGTGGAGAACTCTCTGAACAAGCTGGCCTTCCAACACGTGCTGGGTGAAATCGAAAATCGCTTCTGCCGCGCAATTGCGAACCCTGGAGAGATGGTCGGTGTGCTTGCAGCTCAATCCATTGGCGAACCTGCCACGCAGATGACTTTGAACACTTTCCACTTTGCGGGTGTGTCTTCAAAGAACGTTACACTCGGTGTACCCCGCCTGAAAGAAATCTTGAACCTTGCCAAAGTCATTAAGACACCTTCCATGACTGTTTATCAAGAGGAGGGGAATGTCGGAAATCAAGACAGCGCCAAACTACTTCGGAGTGCCGTTGAGCACACGACTTTGCGATCAGTGACCGAATCCAGTGAGATCTATTACGATCCAGATATTGAGTCAACCGTCATTGATGCAGATAAAGACATGGTCGAATCTTATTTCATTTTGCCTGGCGGCGATGTTGAAGATCGCTTCCGACAATCTAGGTGGCTGCTGCGCATAATTCTCGGCCGTCGCGCTTTGCTCGACAAAGGTCTCACGGTTCAAGATGTCGCAGCCAAGATCAAGGAGAATTATACAAAGGATTTAGCCGTCATCTTCAGCGATGATAACGCTGATGAGCAAGTCGTTCGCATACGTATGATTCAGGATTATGGTAAAGGCGATGAAGATGATGATTTGGAGGAGGATGTATTGCTCAAGCGCCTCGAGAGTCATATGCTTGATACTCTTACACTTCGAGGCGTACCTGGGATCGAGCGGGCGTTCCTGAATACTCGTACGCGACTTCGTCAAGCGACTGATGGCTCCCTCGTGATGGACAAGAATGACCCACTGTGCAAAGAATGGTTTCTTGATACCAGTGGTTCGGCACTCGGGAACGTTCTTGCGATTCCGGGCGTGGATACGACACGCACTTATTCGAATTCCTTCATCGAAGTCTTCGAAGTCTTCGGTATAGAAGCAACTCGATCTGCTCTCATGCGAGAATTGACTCAGGTCCTGGCGTTCGACGGCTCTTATGTGAATCATCGTCACTTGGCGTTGCTGGTTGATGTTATGACCTCCCGGGGACATCTCATGGCTATCACTCGACACGGAATTAACCGAGCAGATACTGGTGCCTTAATGAGATGTTCTTTTGAAGAGACCGTGGAGATCTTGCTCGAAGCTGCTGCTTGCGGAGAGCTTGATGATTGTAGGGGCGTGTCAGAAAATGTCATGCTTGGGCAACTGGCGCCTTTGGGTACGGGTGAGCTCGAGGTCTTTTTAGATCAGAAGATGCTTGATACGGTTATCTCTGATAACGCAAGACTCGGCATCATTCCCGGGGTCAAAGGCGATGTCCTCGCCGACGGTGCGGCAACGCCGTACGATGGCAGCTCCCCAATGCAAGAAAATGGCTATCTCGGTACGCCGGATTATGGGGCGGCTTTCTCGCCTATTGTGCAATCGGGGGTGCAACGCCGGGTGGTTTCACTGAATATTCTGGCCCGGGCTACGGGGGTGGCCTGTCCCCTTACAGTGGGAACCGAAGCCCTGCTGGCTGGTCTCCCAATTCCCCATTCGCAACCTCTCCCTTCAACACATCTCCTACAAGTCCCGGAGCAGCTTCTCCTGGGTTCTACTCCCCTACCTCACCTACAGGTTACGCGAGCTCGCCAAAATTCTCTCCAGCTAGCCCAGGCTATGCGGCAAGCCCAGCTTTCACGCCTACCTCCCCGTCTTATTCGCCGTCTTCGCCTCAGTACGGGTCTCCTACCTCGCCGTCTTACAGTCCCACGTCCCCAACTTACTCCCCCACATCTCCTGCCTTTGGCGGTGGTTCTCCTACGTCACCATCGTATTCGCCATCCTCTCCGGCTTACAGTCCATCATCCCCAGCATTCCAGAAGGGCACTGGTATTTCTCCCACGAGTCCGGTCTACAGTCCCACATCTCCCAGCTGGTCACCATCATCACCAGCCTTCGCATCTCAGTCATCAAAACAAAACTCGATTTCCCCTAGTTCACCTGTCTACTCACCGACGTCTCCTAATGCCTATTCACCGGGCTCTCCCCAATTCACACCAGGAAGTGGTGGGCCGGGACCTTCTCCAGAGCAACACAAGTTCTCACCAGTAAGTGCTCATAGGGAACAGTCTGTATTTGACGCACTAACAAAACACAGGCTTCCCCGGCTTTCAGTCCTGAGGATGATTAGATTGGCCGTGGTTGATGCACAGTTGGCATAAATAGGCACTGGCGACATGGCTTGGTGATCCGTCGATTGTGACCTGTATTACTAATTTCCTTAAAGTTTCATAATATGTGATTTTGATGCATGGCAAAGGATAGATATTGCAGTCTGCAGAATAGGCGTGGCGTTGGAGGAACCTATGCTTTTCCAGTGATAAGTTGAACAACGACGATCATGTTTCAGGTCTACTAGCGAACAGTTGGGTTGGCAAGTGAAGGCAATGAACACAGAAGCTAGACATCAAATTAGGGTTATCCATGTCGCTGTAATTGCGTGATCAAAATGTACTTGTATGCTCACTGAGATTTTGGTAGAAGATTGCGCTACCTTTGTAAAGCTGAGCAATCCCCCTAGTCGCTGGGCCAGGTATGCAAGAGGAGTGACGATAAATCCAGAAGATCCATGGAATAGTCCACCGATCTCCTCACTGCCTCTCCCTCTTGTATTATGTCTGAGACCCTTGCCAGCTAGTCTCTTCTGCTACGATCGTAGGAGTTAGCTGTGACACCGCTTTCTTCTGATCTAGTCTTTGCCGTGACCATTGCTCAAACACCATGGCGAACTCCAGATATGAGTACGTCAAGACGTTTGAGCAAAACTCATTACTGCTTCCAAACACGTATATCATGGTCCGTATTGACGGACGTGGCTTCCACAAGTCGGTGTGGCTCCACTTGCATGTATATATGTCTGCTTACAGATAAAAGATTGTCTGCAAAGTACAGTTTTCGAAAACCAAACGATGAACGAGCCCTAAACTTGATGAACGCATCAGCACTCGCAGTCATGAAAGAGTTGCCAGACAGCACTATTGGGTACGGAGTCAGCGATGAATACAGGTATACTCTTGTGAGTGACCTTCAACACAGGCGGACGCTGAACAGTATCCCAGCTTTATTTTCCCTCCAGAGACTAACTTATTTGGCCGACGGGAAAGGTGAGAAATTATGTGTCCTAGGTGTTTCCCTCAGCTTACGGGGCGGATACCTAGCAAGATATTGACCACAGTTGTTTCTACTTTCACTGCTTACTATCTCAATCTTTGGCCTTCATATTTCGAGTGTTTACCATTGTCAGTCCCGTTGCCGTCTTTCGACGGTAGAGTGGTCTTGTACCCATCCCTCCAGAATCTACGTGACTACCTAAGTTGGAGGCAAGCAGACTGTGAGCAACTTTTGTACTAAGCTGAGATGAGGCTCTCTAATCGTTTGAGAGGCCACATTAATAATCTATACAACACCACATTCTGGGCTCTGGTGAACAAGGGTGGTAAAAATGCCACTGACGCCGAAGCTCGGCTAAAAGCATGAAATCCTCACTTAGATGCACAGATCCACTTGTTGACTCTAGCAGGGAACCCAAGCAGCAGCCAAGAACGAAATCCTGTTCTCAAAATTCAATATCAATTACAACAACGAGCCTGAAATGTTTCGAAAGGGGACAATTATATACCGTAGGGTTCGTTCTCTCTCTGTTACTTTTGGGATTGATCGGTGATGCACTCATAAATCAGTAGCTCGAAAATGCAGAAGAATCGAAAACAACAGAACTTCGCAATGAAAACGCTGAACGAACTATTTTGAAAACGCAGAAAAGGACGAACGGAAAGTCAGCGACGATCGAAATTGCACACTGTGACATTATCCAAGATTCATTCTGGGAGCGTAGAAGCTACCTGCTTTGATGAACGAGTAGACCAAGGTCAACACTCTGATAATATAGATGATTGGCGACTGAAAACTCAACAAGTAATTGAGTCAACGTCTTTGCGTTAATCACGAGGTGCCTCTTTATATAGAACGCTGAATGTCATATGCAACAGACCAAAATACTGACAGCGGCTCGTTATTGACGCAAATAGCGACGCACTCTAAGCCCATTTTCTGAAAAGAATTGCCGGTCTAACTTTCGGGTATGTGTACTAAGATTGAGGTCAGACTCTCTTTGCTGGAAGTCTCTGATCTTTGTTCCACTATTGAACATCGAGTACCTGAGAGGCTGTCCAAACTACCATATCGGAATAGCTCTTGACGTTGGCCGACTTTATAGCTAAATCATCATCGAAAATCGCCTTTCGTTTCGTCGTGACATCCGCAAGCTACTAGCGAGATCATATCTTTGAGATAGCGAGCCAAATTTTTGCCTTCTCCATCCACAGCTCCCTCGCCTGACAGCAGAAGCAATAATTTGCGTAGTCGCCAATGCCTAGAGACTTGAGAAACGAAACATGATCCTGTAGGTCTGATTGGTCTTGAAGCTGCAATGCAAATCGTTCAGCCGCAATCTGTGGAAGCAGTGCATGTTGCGGCTGACTAGCTGTGTTGATATATCTCATGGTGCGAAAGCTGGCCTACTGGTGGGTCCTCCCAAAAGTTGGCGTCCCCAAAGTATGTGTCTGCCAGGGGCCCGCGGATGGTCACCGCCTCAATGCCTTTCATCCCTTCAGCTCCTCTGCTCGAGCTCCTCTAAAGCCTTGCGAAGCAGAGATCAGCGTGATGCTAGGGAAAGACGATGAAGGCGCAGGATCTAAGCCTTGTTCAACTAGCAGTCTTCTCAACGGACGCTTTTGCCCAGATATATGAATGTCTCCCTTTACCTGCTCAGATAACCTTCTTACAAGCTCGTGCAGCTTTCCGCGCCCTCCTTTTGACCTTCTTCCTTTGCGAAGCATCTTGCATAGTGCGATGAGCTGCTTGGCCCACAAACTGCTCCACGGAATCGAACGACCCTACAATCAATCCTTCTTGACTAACTTCTTTTGCCACGTCGTCTTCTTCCGCCCTCCTCCTCTTCCGTTTCGTCCCTCTGTCATCAACCTTGTAAGCACCTTTAGGTATGTTGCTTTTGCTCATGTCACTAATGTTACTGTCTTTTGAATGCTCTATTGGCCTTTGAGTATCCTTAGCAGTGGATGTAATAGTACCCTCCAGACTCTCCCCTTTGACAAAGCTACTGTAGAGATTGGACACTCGAGAACTATGGAACGTTACTCTCGCGGATTGGTGAGCCAAGGGAGTCTCTCTTAAATTTGTTGTGGTTTCCTGCTCGCTGGCATTGACGCTCTTTAGTACGTCATCAAATCCTGTCGCCCACCACTGATGTGTCAGTGCCTCGTGCTTCTTTTTGCCCATTCCAAGGACATCATTCTTTGGTTGAACCTTGATTGGATTTCTGAGCCCACGCCCTGCTTCTCGATTTAATGAATACCCTGTTCCAAGCCAACCTTGCGAACGGAGAAGGGCACAGGAGTCCATTGGAAGTGTGCTGTGTTGTGTAGAACTCGAGGTTCTAGCGTTGACGGGTGAAATTCCTAAGTTAACTCCGATCCCTAATTCCGCCAACAGTTCCAATTTCGACAATATCAAGTTAGGACTATCTGATTGGTAGTCATTCCTTCTGCTTTAGAAGTATACAGAGAGTTTGGTGATGAGGAATCTTGCCGATCAGTCATACCCTACGTCAGAAGTCCAACGTTGCGGCCAGTCCACCAGGCCACTTCATTGCTTCGGTGGCAGTACAAAATCGAGAGACAGCACGCCAAAGTCCGCCTAGTCATCTCCCTCGCCAGCCTCGTTACCTTTCTCCAGCGCCTCGAACCCTTTTCTGGATTTGCGTCTAATGCTCGGCCATGCGCGTCCACTTCTCTCCTCGCGAGGAGTATGTGGAGCACTCACCACGCTATCGGCACTCTTGCCGAGCTGTCCTTCGCTTGAATTGTCTTCGTCGATCTCTCCAGGTGTGGGCGGCTCTCCGGCCCGCTTCGAGAAGAACCCTCGTTCTTTTGACCACGGTACGTTGAATTTACTGGAGCTACTCTTGCGCGTAATCTTCTGCATCAAGCTTTCCTTGGGGACTGGATTCTCCATACCGGCACCAGACGCGGTCCGCTCGAAAGACTCGCGTGAGTCTGCAGTCGACGCAGCGGTGCTAACAGATTGGGCGTCTCGCGACAAGCGCGAATGTGGCGGGGAGACGTCAGGTATGGGCTCGTTCAGATCAGCGTCGCCTTTCTCACCCTCTTTAGCTTTTGTCATATCCGACGTCTTATGAACACCCTTCTCTATTCTTGCAGCCTTCCTAGCGTCGCTCCGGCTGAACAGGGTTTTGAACGTGGGAGCAGCAGGGTTCAACTTGGGAGCAGGGACCCGCTGTGATGTCGGTCGAGTTCCGATGGGTGCCTGCTCCGGCCTGTGCCTTGACAAAGGCCTGTTGATGTCCTCAGCATCCAATGGAGTCGTTCCCATGGAGAGGTTGGTAGAAGAGCCACGCTGTAATGATGCGCTTCGTGAAGGCCCGTGTGACCATGGACTCGGATTGACAGCCCACTTAGCATTCAGTGGGCTGTTGCGATCCGATAAATTGTCACCAAAAGGACCCCATATACTTTGACTCTCACTTGAAGGCCTTCTAAAGTGTTGCTCGTAGGAATAAGTTGAAGATGGCCGGGAGGAGGAGGTTTCCTGCTCGTTGACGGATGACGGATCGAGTGGATTGATTCTTGGTTTGAACATGTTCAGTCGACTGCTGCGACCGGACCCAGTCCTGGCTCTGATCACGTTGCTTTCTGCATTCGAGCTATTTCTGTTGAGCAAACCGGCCACCGGATTCGCCCATGTTCCATGGCTCCCACGCCTTCGACGAGCACCGGAAATGTCATAAGCATCTTGGTCGAGGTCACGAGGATAAGAGTGACTTTGGCCCTGTTTCAGGGTACCAAGAGCTGGGGGTTCCTGAGCACTCGATTTACCGCGCGGTCGCCCAAAAGGGGAACTAAAGAGGTTCGCAAATCTGTTGGACGGCTGTGAGGTTGGATCGGCGGTCAGAGAAGAAGGGAGTGGTGTCCGAGTAGAATTGGCAGAGTGCTTATCAATATCGGGGACAAAAGATGAAACATTTTGCATACTGTCATGCGGGCTTGTGAATACACTGTTAGCCCGACTATCACCAGAAATAGGTGTGATGGGACAAGGTCCTGAGGTATCAGAATTGGATACTGTATGTCTCATGAGATGCCCCGGATCAGGATGGTCAATCTCGCTGGATGCCACAATGCCGGATGCAGGCCCGCTCGTAGAGTCTTCATCACCGAAAAGATACGAGGGTAAGAGATCGTTAGCGGCAGGACTGATCATCGCTTCCCCAGTCATGTTGCCATTGTCAGCGGGAACCGGGCCGCTTTGATCAAAGTCTGAGGCCATATTGAACCCACTGTCCATTTGCATTGGTGTAGAATTAGTCTTGGAGTAAGGAGGGGGTGCTCCGTTGAAGTCTCCTTGTCCACCAGAGTAGGCGTGAGTCGCTTGGCCACTTGTGCGAGAATTTGTGTGCCGATTTCTGTGAGATCTATTTCGCGCATGGGGCGACAGACTTTCCATGGGAGGTAGCGTCGCAAAACTATCCGGGTCGTGCGATTGTCTCGTGAACCACCAATTGAATGTTGCTTCTGCCTTTTGTTCCTCGGCTTTGGACTGCTGGAGGGCTTGCCACATGGATTGCAGCTGAGCCTGCAGGGTATGATATTTCAGATCCCATGCGTCGTTCTTGGCTCTTTCAGACTTTACTCGTTCAGGTTTGTTTGCTTCATCGGTTTCTAGTTGATCTCTCTTCTGCTCTAGCTCCTTCATGTGAGCACCTCGTACCCGGAGCTCCTCCTCTAGAGCCTTCATACTGGCCTGATCAGCCATAATTGCTTGCCGTAGTTCTGCCATCTCGCGCACTCTTATGTTTCCTAGAGAGTCTAATTCTGACTCTATTTCTTGAATCTCTTTCTCCATACCGGCATTCTCAAGGTCCCATCTTGTGATATCAGCTTTCACCTTCAGCCGTTCTGCTCTCTTTTGCTGTAGTACTCTCTCTTTCCCAGAACGTCTACTTTGGGCGCCGCGATTCAGTTTATCCAGATGATTGCCCTGCCTCCGCAGCTCCGCGCTCGAGTCTTCTTTCTCTTTCAGCTCGTGCTTCAATTCGTCGCGTTCCTTCGATAACCCCGCGTGATGCTCCTTCGCCTCTGCCTCTTCATCTCCCACCTGCTTGTCCACTTCCGTCTTCAGCGCCCTGAGAGACTCCAATCTGGTGGTCAATTGAACGATGTATTCCGGGGAGTCATTTTCGCCACTGTCACTTCCGTCTGAGGATTCAACATTAGGTGAAGTATTTGGGCGGATAGGGGATACTGCTCGCCGCATTGAAGCAGTTTTGGTGGTAACCTGCTGAACGGCGTGGACATCCTTCGACGATGAATGCGACGATTGCTTGCTGAAAAGAGAGGAAGAAGTACGTATTGTCGCGCCTTGATGCTGACTATCTTCTTCCAAGCCTGTTTGAGTGTCGGCGTCTGGGAGGGTCTGTATGCATATCAGAGCACTGGAAGTGGTTAAGTGATGACTGCTCGTAGAAAGACATTTAATGTTGTAGCAGCGATCGGGTATAAGATTCAGCACCTCAACAAGGGTCTCTCCGCGGGAGAATTCGCCAACTGAATTAGACACACATCAGAAGATTTTCCGGCTTCTGGATACTGAAGCTTACGTTTGACACCATTCACGACAATTGAAAGCGTCACAGCAGCGAACCCGTTCAGCGTTGAGTTCAACCAGTACAACGCCACCGAGCGAGCTTTGATGCCTGCAACGGATATCTCTGGTATAGGGGGAATGTCATATCCAAGGCGTTCCTCTAGATCTTCTCGGGAAATTTTGCTGAGTTGGTACAATCGGAGACAGACCCTATATTCCTGTGAGGTCAATTGACTCGAGACGTCAAGGGTGACATACCATGCTATCGAGATCAATAAAAGAGAGTCCCATATCATGCTGGGCCTGTAAAGAGTTGACAGGATCGCTTTCCGGCTCACGTGTCAGACTACCGTTGCAAACCATTGAAGTCTGCGATTGTTACAGCCGCTAGAAACTTGATTAGAAGCCAAGTCGCACAACGAGCGAGGTATACCGACTTTTGGCCGGGTTGTCTGGTAAACCATGATCGTGAACCCCGATTTTGTGTGTAGAATTGTAATTTTTGATGAATTGTTCAGGCAAAAGGGAAACCTGTCTGGGAGAGTGTTCACATCGATTTTAGGTTGACCCATCTCCGCTAGAGGCTCTGCGGAAGGGGCACAGGTCTGTGTTGCCTTGTCACCACGTTTGCTCTTATTGATACGTCATCTGGTTCTTCCACAACTTCCACACAAATTGAGCTGAGGCAGCCTTACACGCACCATGAATCTATACTCTAACTGAAAACACTAAGACCTGTATGGGTAGCGAAGTACGCGTTCCACTAGCCATTGCCTGGCATCGTCACTCTATGTGTCGCATGATTACTGCAGCATAAGTTGCAAGTCGCTATTCTTTCAACATGATAAGTGTCATTGATCTTAGACGTCAGCGGACATGCAGTATGTTCGAAGTCTTGGAGGCTCGGTCTCTAAGACATGGAACTCTATCAACCCTGCCACTTTGAGTGGTGCTATTGATGTCCTTGTAGTGGAACAGGAAGATGGTCAGGCTTCTCAACTATCTTGGGCCCTCTCTGTGTTGATGAATGATAGGCTCTCTTGCCTGCTCTCCGTTTCATATTCGCTTTGGCAAATTTTCATTGCTTCGCCCATACGAAAAGAAGGTAAGGACCCGACCAACTTCGCCTACACTTACCTAAACCGTTGGTTGGAATAGGTCGAATTCAAGGTCAACGATATTAAACAGCCTTATGCTATGAAACTTGGGGAAGGTGGTGAGGCCTTTTTTGTCTTCGAAACCTCCGAAGACATTCCTGAAAGTCTACAAACTTCGCCAGTCATATCTCCGGCTTCAACCCCCCAGGGATAACAGAGCAACAGCGTATGGCCATTTCACATCTCCAAGAGCCTGAATTTCTAGACCTCAACCTTGAGGTCGGATTAGCAACCCCTGTTGGAGGAGAGGCCACAAGTATTCGACGGCCTATAATTGCAGACGCTGGTAGGGCTCAGAGTACCTTTGGTTTGTAGACCAAGCTCTTTGTGTAAGCTGTTTACTGAATGGTATAGATGTTCTAAACACTTCCTTGTCGAACCCGGGCAATGATATTCTTCGTCGTACGGAGAATACTTGGCAATCGACCCAGACAATCCCCACCATCAAGCGTTCCGCATCAGAGGACCTATTGCCAAGATCTTCCAACCCAAGCGAACTCCTCTCTTCGAGTCACGATGCTCCATTCAGTCTCAACGGCTCTACGACTCCTCCCGCCCTATCGAGCGTGCCAAAAGCTGCTCTCACGGAACGGTCGACTAGTCCTCCGCCTGTCACGACGCATGAAGCTGTCGTTCGAGCTCAGGCGTTGTCGGATAAGCTTTTCGACTCCAATATACCTTCCCGTGTCACAGAAAGTGGAGATCTCATGCTTGACATGACAGGCTACAAGAGCAAGGAAGAAGACGCCCTGCGCGCCGAAATTATAGCGCGAAAGATTCTTGCGCAAGAGCTTGAAGGAAACTACGACATTGGTGCCCTTATAGATTCAGACGAACAAGGAAACCTCTGGATCTACAGTAGCGAAGAAGCCAAGGAAGTAGCTACCCGCAAGACTGGTATGCGTGGCCTTGCAGCAGCGCCAGCAATAAGTGATGCTGCCTCAGATCCTGGCTACCACAGTGACGACGACGCAATACCGTCTGGATCTTCAACTGTGAACTCTCATCAGCGTACGCAGTCAGATACCGGTCCAAGGACTGCCATCTCCCCACCGGAGACACCGCCCATAGGGGCTGCAAATGGTGAACCCAATCGAAACTATGCCAAAACCCTGCGTTTGACAAGCGACCAGTTGAAAGCTTTGCAACTCAAGCCTGGTGCGAATTCCATTAGCTTCAGTGTAAACCGGGCCACCTGCCAAGCACATATGTATTACTGGAAATATGATGTCCCAATAGTCATCTCCGACATTGACGGAACCATTACCAAATCCGACGCCTTGGGCCACGTACTTAACATGATAGGGCGTGACTGGACACATCTTGGTGTTGCGAAACTCTACACAGATATCGTCGCCAATGGATATCACGTTCTTTACTTAACAAGTAGGTCAGTAGGCCAAGCTGATACAACACGTGCCTATCTAAATGGAGTCATTCAAGAGGGATTCAACCTGCCCAAAGGGCCTGTAATAATGAGCCCCGACCGGACTATGGCAGCACTGCGGCGTGAGATCTATTTGCGGAAACCGGAGGTTTTCAAAATGGCATGCTTGAGAGACATACGAAATTTGTTCGTACAGAACCACAGTCCATTCTATGCTGGGTTCGGCAATCGGTTGACCGATGCTCTAAGTTATCGATCTGTTAACATTCCTTCGACTCGTATATTTACTATCAATTCGAATGCCGAGGTTTCGCTTGATCTGCTAACCTTGAATAAGTACAAAAGCAGTTATGTAACAATGCGAGAGGTTGTGGACCACTTTTTCCCACCGGTCGGTTTGTTGGTCACAGGAGGTGGCGACGAGTTTACGGATTTCAACTATTGGAGGGAGTCTCCGAAGGAGCTTGAGGATTTCCCAGATAGTGACAGTGAGGTCTTCTTGCCGCAGGCTCAGGAGAAAGAGAGCATAAGGAGCGAAGATGAACGTAGTGAAGATTACGACGAAGATCAAATGGAAGAGCTGGGTCGAAGTTATCTCTCAAACGATAACATCCTGCAGCTAGAGGACGACGGATCCGTTGTTGAAAGCATGCAGGAAAGCTTGATACTTCACAAGCAAGTCACGGAGGATGACCTCCGCAAGACGGCCGGACATGCACAGGATATAGCGGAGTAATTAGACATCTTATGGTTGTCAGATTGAATTAACGTCAACAGTGAAGTGTCTGTCGAGCTTAATCAATCGAAAGGAGCATGTAAGGGGGACAACAATCAAGTAATCCTGCCGGGCCAACCCCCTAGCTTGATCAGCGCATACTGCAATCTGAGCATACGAAATCAATCCCACGACAGCGCAATCAAGTGGCTCAAGCCTGGGCAGGTTGGCTGATCCGTGGCAGCGTCTTCGCCCTACGATAACATAGGGATGCTTGATGTTGAAGCCTCTCTGACCCCAAAATTGCAAGCCGTCTCCTACAAGGCTTCACGCTGTGTGGCGTGATGCGATTTTGGATCTCATTAGATTGAGCAATGAAAGGCCGTCAAGAAGGATGAAGAATTCAGCCTGAAGATCACCTGGGGTAGATTGTGTAGAGGTCTACGTAGGAAATAGTTCAGGAGACCTAGTTGACTGAGCTGCTCGCGTAGAAGTTCTTCGACAACGCGGTAAATGATACCGTTATACTGTATTTACGCTCTTGAGCTTGTGCATCTTTCGGATTCGAAGCTCGTTAAAAAGGGGGCATTTTCGAATTTTGATAGCCGAGACGGCCTAATGCGATCACACGTCTTAGGGTGCGGAGGCGGTCCGAGGGTCGGTTAGTCTGAACGTGGCCGCGCTAAATTTGTAGGGGCAAGATAGGGGGGTAGAGGCCTAGGATAACCTGGCTATAGGGAGCCCTCTAGGGCACATGCCCCTAAAACCTCGCGCTTAAATTCTATTTGGCATGGCCACGTTCAGACTAACCGACCCTCGGTCGGAAGATATTTGAATTGAGGTTCGGCCCGTTACCGTTTACCTTGCCTTACCTTCCATTATTATCGATGAGGGCGAAGGAGGGGGAAGCCAAGAATTGACATTATATCTGTGCCTCACCCTCATCTCTTGTATATGATACATGCTGATCAATGGCGGACGCTGATGGCTCCAGCTCTGCCATGGCTGCCTCTCAGCTCACCGATCCTCGATCTGACAACCTTCAGGACAAAAACTTAACGTCTTCAGCTCCTCATGATCCTACTGCGTCAAAACGACCTCGTGATGCTCGTCTTATACATATGATCTTAGCCCAGTATGGCGTCACGGCTTATCAAGAGCGTGTCCCTCTGCAACTCATGGACTTCGCTTATCGTTACACGTCCTCCACTCTACAGGATGCTTTACATCTTAGTAACGAAGGCTACGGCAATGCTGGTTCCGGCATTGGAACAAGCACTGGAGGCGGTAAATCCGGAGCGGAAGGCAATACACTAAACCTTGCAGCCTTGAGACTCGCAATCCATTCAACATCTCATTACCAATACAATCCTTCTCTCCCAAAAGAGTTCTATATGAATCTTGCCCAAGAAAAGAACAAGATCGGCTTGCCTTCTGTGCAGAAAGAATGGGGTATGAAATTGCCACCTGAGCAGTATCTATTGACTGGACAGCACTGGGAGATGGCCGAAGAATTCGATATGATTGATGGGGAGGAAATGGGTAATCGAGATATGTCCATGCGGGACCAAGAGGACGCCGATCAAGGGGACGGTGAAGTGGAAGGTGGAACCATGGAAGACATATTTGGGTCAGGTGGAGATGGGGCTGCTAATGAAGGGGACGACCGAATGCTAGAATAGTAGTGGCCATACGACATGTCCACGGGATTTTGTTATGCTTCTGCGATCCATCAGATCGGTACTGGGGGAATCATCTTCGAGAGGAACCTAAAGCTCTAGATGTTTGGTATCAAAACGAATCTATCGACTTCGGCTGTTGATAATAAACACCACGTGGGACTAACTTCCGCAGTCATGACTCCGAGCTGACCGGGGTGACAGGCCTTCTACCTACTATGTTCGCTTCTTTCTCATCCCATTCTCGTCGAGCTCCCACCACTCGCGGTGAAATCTTTCCGCCTCAGCTGCCTTCCGCTCCTTCTCTCTTTTTTCGGCAATCCGCTGCTCGACACCAGCGAAGTATTCTTCTCGCGCGAGATCCTCCTCTTTAGGTCCTGCGTGAGCGAGCATGCAAGAGTTCATAGTAAGTCTTTGTTGGCGGCATGCCCACGTTGCTGAGACGGTGCGTCCAGCTGCGCATTGCGCAAATCCTAACAGCCCTCAGAGCTTGTACAATTGCTCAGGTGCTATGATTTACCTCTAATTTCGTCTGCACAGTAGTCTCGTACCCTCTTGTGGTACAGCTGCTGTACTTGCGCTTCTTGTGCAGCAGATAGTGGAAGGGGATTGCGTGAGCGAAAGGGATGGTTCCGCAGTGGCTCTGGCGCCGGAGTTGCCATCATTGATGAATCAAAGAGTGAACGTTTTCAAGATAGGTAGCCGCAAAAAGGCGTACAGATCGTACTGAAATATGTGACTGACGCCAGCCATCTTGAAAATCCAGCGGGCTGTAGCATTACACAGAGAGGTTGCCCTCCTCAATGTAGAACATTGCAGCCGAGTATTGAATACCGCTACCTTGCGTAATATTACAAAGTCTAAGAATCTAGAGAAAGGAAAATACGCTGATCACACTGCTTAGGCCAAAATTGTGCCAACCGTTGAGCCTGTCTTTTACGCTTCATTTTCCTCTGAGGCGACTCTGCAATGACGCAAAATTATGTTTTTTCCGTCGATATCAAAAATATTGGACGTGGCCTTGACTTAAAAAATTTATCGCTTCTGGGGCCTGTGCAAATTACTGCCACCTCGCTATCATTTGAAGATGCATTGCGATTTACACAAAATGAAGCTTCTTTGCTTGACATCTTCTGCGATTGTTCTGCTCTTCAAGACACAGACCACATTATCAATTTATTAAATGCTGGCTGTACGAAAATTCATGTTGACAAGACAAATTTGAAGAGGTTGATAGAAGAAAATGGTCTAGACAAAGAGCACCTTTCCCGTCTGATATTGTCTCTCACACCTTTCAATGACACCATAGAAGCGGGCGTAGCGGCGGAGGCTCTCGAACTCATCGACATGTACTCTAGATACGTGCCACAAGGCTTGTGTTTCTGCGGTGGTCTAGATCTCATTAGAAGTGTCGGCTCGGCTTTAAAGGAAGAGTCCTCTAAGCCCATATTCTATGTGAAACTCACGACAGCCAATGTCAATCTGAGCACCACATGTGTTCACGAAGGAGCTATCGCCGTCGTCCCTTCTGAGGCGCTCACCAACAATCTACTAACAAAAGAGAAATTGTTCCCATTGTATCGTTTGATTACAGATGTTTTACGGAGTGATAGACCTGACGGACTTTTCCCGACGGTCGTGAGTGACGATCGGGGCGTCTGTCTTGGAATGGTCTATAGTAATCAACAAAGCGTTGCTAAAGCTCTAGAACTAGGCCGTGGGGTCTACTATAGCCGTTCTCGAAAGAAGCTATGGATTAAAGGCGAGGAGAGTGGCAACTTCCAGGAGTTGGTTAACATTTCTATGGATTGTGACGCCGATGCGTTACAATTCCGTGTTCGGCAAGCCGGAGATGGTATGTGTCGATCGCTCAATGATTAAACCTTTCTACTAATACAAGCAAGGTTTCTGCCACACAGGCAGGGCAACGTGCTTTGGAAGCTCTGACGGAATCTCTCGCCTTGAGAAGACTCTGTATAGTCGGAAAGTGACTGCCCCTAAAAACTCTTACACTGCCCGATTGTTCAGCGAACCTAAATTACTGCAAGCCAAGATAATGGAAGAAGCGCATGAGCTTTGTGAGGCTACGAGTAAGGGCGATGTAGCCGACGAAGCCGCTGATCTGATCTACTTCGCTATGACAAAATGTGTAAAGACTGGTGTCAATTTCAAGGACGTGGAGAAAAGCCTTGATCTCAAAAGTCTGAAAATTACAAGACGAAAAGGCGACGCGAAGCCGCATTGGGCGGAGCAAATGGGTCTAACAAATGTCGACAAAGGTACCAGTGATACTGTGAACGGTGTCGCTCGAGATCGGCCTGTTACTCAAACGCTTGAGGAAGCAGCTTCAGTGCCGAAGGCAATCGGGGACCCATCAGGTTTCCTGGATGGTAAAATTCGGATGAGACGGTATGACACCGCCAGAACCTCCCCAGAAACCATAGTGGACGTTCTGCAACGCCCGTCACAGCGCGCAACGGACGAGATAATGAATATAGTGAAACCCATCATCAACAGAGTGCGCGACGGCGGCGACGGGGCACTACTCACTTATACTCATAAGTTCGAGAAAGCAGTTTCTCTCACCACTCCTGTACTAAAAGCGCCGTTTCCAGAACATCTTATGGCTTTGCCTCCTAAGACCATTGAAGCTATAGACACAAGCTTTAAGAATATAAGTTGCTTTCATGCCGCCCAGAAGGAAGAAAAACCTTTGCAAGTCGAGACAATGCCCGGCGTCAATTGTTCACGTTTCTCGCGCCCGATCGAAAGGGTTGGCTTGTACGTGCCCGGTGGAACTGCTGTCCTTCCCTCCACCGCACTTATGCTTGGTGTTCCTGCCATGGTTGCAGGCTGCAAAAGAATCGTTCTCGCATCTCCTCCCAGAAGCGACGGCACCATTACTCCAGAGATCGTCTATGTTGCAAATAAGATTGGGGCGGAGAGCATCATCCTCGCCGGTGGTGCGCAAGCTGTTGCTGCTCTGGCGTATGGTACGGAGAGCATCAGCAAGGTTGATAAAATCCTGGGCCCAGGCAACCAGTTTGTTACCGCGGGTAAGATGATCGTGTCCAATGATACCACAGCCGGTGTGAGTATCGATATGCCAGCGGGCCCAAGCGAAGTACTGGTCATTGCAGACAAGACTGCAAAGCCGGCTTTCGTGGCATGCGATCTTCTCAGCCAAGCCGAGCATGGTACTGATTCACAGGTTGTCCTCATAGCTATCAATCTCGATGAGACCGATTTAGCGGCGATAGAAGATGAATTGCATACTCAGGCTCATGCGCTGCCAAGAGTTGATATCGTCAGAGGTGCCATCGAACATTCAGTAACGCTCGTCGTGAAGACCATTGAGGAAGCAATGAGATACAGCAATCAGTACGCACCCGAGCACTTAATTTTGCAAGTAGAGAACGCGCAAGACGTAGTAAAGCTGGTGCAGAACGCGGGAAGCGTTTTTGTTGGACCTTGGACGCCAGAAAGCGTTGGGGACTATAGTGCTGGTGTTAACCATTCATTGCGTAAGTTCCAGTCGCCCCTCAGGCGATTCAAGCAAGCTAAAGGTGCCATGTCAGCAACGTATGGTTATGCCAAACAGTATTCCGGAGTAAACCTTTCCTCCTTCACTAAACACATCACGAGCTCGAAATTGACTAGAGAGGGTTTGAAGAATATCAGCGGTGCAGTCATGGAACTTGCCAGAGTAGAAGAGCTCGAAGCACATCGACGAGCTGTTGGTATAAGACTGGATCATATGACGTAGACCGCTATTTCTTTTACAGTCACACGGTCGTTGGACGCATGTGTCACTATCTAGATGAGCAATTGTTTACAAGCAGGCAAGTCCTCGATAAGCCTCGATTTTTTCTGTATATTTACAAGGGAATTGATGGAGCAGCGCCGATAGCCTCGATGATTTGCCGACTGCCTCACGCATTCCTAGACATATCATTCCGTATCCGGTTGTAATCCAGTAATCTATGAATTTTTAGTATGAGGGTCAGCTGATGGATTGCGTTGAGTCTTACCCCTCAATGCTTCCTACAGCGCTGACAGCAATGTCTTGATCCCACAGTTTCCTACGCGCAAAGCTCATGACGTCTTTCTCGCTGATGCTGCCGATCACTCGTTCCACCTCTTCAGGGTTCATTCGCCGTCCTGTAGTAACGATCTGGCGACCGATATCCTCCGCGACGGCGGTTGTACCGTCCAACGAAAGCAGTATGGAGGCCTTCAATTGAGCTTTCGCCCGCTCCGTCTCCGCCTCAGAGACGTTGTATGAAAGTCGTGACCATTCTCGGAGAGTGAAATGTACCAAGTCATCGATTTGAGTCTTGTTCTCTGTCACTAGATATATGCCCCATAGACTATACAGATCTTAGCTTAGTTTCAAATCCTGGGATATATCAATGTACGCTACCCTGTATCACTGTAGCTAGTGGAGAAACTCATGAAGCTATTCGCGAGCTTATTCTCGTGGATGAAAGTGCTGAGCTTGCTTCCAAGGTAGGGCGAATTGCCCATTGCTCGATCCCAGTTCCCAACGATCGCTTGGGTGACTAAGCCTGTAAAGTAATCATCGTCTTTCCAACTCACGCCTTCAACTGCGATGGCGATGTTGGCTGTTGTGACCGTGTCGTCTCGTATCCGAACTTCAGAGCCCACGAAGTCTGGCTTTGTCTTCTGCGCGGCCGCTTGGGCAATAGCTGAGGATGTGGGCGGTTCCCGTGGAAGGTTAGAGAAGTGTTTCTCGGCAAGCTCAACTAATTGTTGATGCGGAATGCCACCGGCTCCTACCAGTACCATGCGATCCGCGAGGTAATTCTTCTTTATATAGCCCACAAGATCGTCCCTCTGTATGCTCGCTATATTTTCCTTAGGGCCTAGAATCGTTCGTCCAAGGGGCTGGCCTTGAAAAGCTGTGGCGTGCAAATGGTCAAAGACGACTTCCTCCATTTGCTTATCTACTTCCTCCTGCTCTCGAAGTATGACATCTCGCTCTCTTTCAATAGCTTGAGAATCCAGGCGCGAGTGCTGGAGGATATCGGACAGGATATTGACGCAAGCCGGTACATCAGCGTTGAAAGACTTGGCGTAATAGACGGTGTTTTCCCGCTGCAGTGATGATAAGTAGGTAGGTCTTATTACCAAGGAGAGTAGTGTCATACAGAAGTATAGGCGTTGAGATGGCCCCCCATGTTTTCGATCTCTAGCTCTAGTTGCTGTTGGGTTCGATTGCCGGTACCCTAGCTCACTTAGCATGTGAGTACTCAGAGAGACACGTATGCCTTCACCTTGAACGCCAGATGTTCGAGAAAATGGGCAGTGCCATTGGTCTTATCCGTTTCAGCCCTTGATCCTGCGTCTATCCAAACGCCAACAGTGGAGGTTTGCGCCCAAGGGGAATGCTCGGTAGCAATCTCGGATAGTGTCAGCCAGGAGAGACTTGAAAAAGGTGTTCTGATCTCACTGTGAGCCCATTCGAGAGGGTAGTGCTTTCGGTGTTTATCCCATGGTCGATGGGGGTCGCAAAGCCTCTTTTTGGGGGCCGTATGGAGCGAAGGGCAGCTCGGCTCCGTAGCGCCTGATTGACGTTGAGGGCCAATCGGCGTGAGGCCATCAGTGCTGTCAAGAGGTAGTAGAAATGTCAAGATGCTAGAAAGAAATGCGAGTAGGCGGAGGTTTGACGGCGATGCTTAGCTAGGGAAACTCTTGGCCAAGACCTATGCTGGAATTGGCAGGCCCCCGACCAATCAGCTCCATCTCCATCGGCCACGACGTCAGTCTCACCTCTTCCATTCATTCCTCATTGCTCCTGCGCATGAATCTCGATGCTTGCCATTGATCGGCTTTCCAACGGAGCCATTGGATCCTCCCACGACGATGACCTCTCTTTCAAAGCTCCCTAGAGCGTGGAGGCTGTCGCCAACGGCCCCGAATGCTGCGACCTTGACCCCGGCCTTTCGCCGACAACCCAGGAAACCCCTACACACAGCTCTCCACACATCCTCAATCAGAACAACAAAGCCAGTTGCAGTTAGATCAGCGTGCTTTCACAGCAGCGCGCAGAGACAGATACTGCCTGCTGGTCCACGTGAGTGCTTTGTACCGAAAATCGTGATCTAGCGAATGGCTGACCCCTCCTGGTAGAGGTCATTGATGGAACAGGTGCGCAATCTCTAGGTGGCTGGACAAACATCAGATAGACTAACATGAGCAGCCAATGACCCGGCGCCGGTACCACACCCTTCTCCAACACATGGCAGCTATCACTGGACATTCGAACGGTAAGACCAGGAATTTAGAGAGCAAGAGTGTCTCCCTTACGTCTCGCTCAGAATCATATCGGCTGGGCTGATACCCCTCACCGTTGTACCATTTGCAGCAGGAACACTCAACCCTACAATGGACGCACTCCTGTGCGCAACAATCATTATACACACCCATATCGGCTTCCAGTATGCCGCAACGATTTCCATTTCTCACCTGCCCTCGAAGCAATCGCTCTTTTACTGACAGCTCACTAGGTCTGTCATAATTGATTACATACCTGCTAAAAGGTTGCCCAAAACTCGAGCTTTGTTTTGGTGGGGCCTTCGCGCCGGGACGATTTTGGTGGCCATTGGCTTTTATGAGTTTGAAACAAATGATGTTGGCTTGACCGAGGGTCTGAAGCGGATATGGAAGGCGTGACATCTTACCAAGCGAATAAGGTTCATGTACATTGTTCCGTAGCTTTCTGAACGCTACCTCTGCCAGACCTACCTCGAGCCTCGTTTGGGATTGCAAGCTGGCCTCCAATGTCCGCGGCTTTCGGCACACAGAAAAGCGAGAAGGCTTTAGTTCACCATGCTACCCACGCCATTTACGAGAGCTTCAATTGCTACCGTCAAAGATCATGCTAGTTCAGATTGAAAGAACTTCGGATGCCGGAATCTGTTCCAAGGTTTTATCATGCTATGTGGGGTATCTCAACGTACACAACGAGTAGCAAAGCCCACGCGCCATTTAATCTACTTCTTCCTAGCTCCCAGCTTGAATTTGACGCCATCCTTATTCACGCCACCTATTACGTTTCTCATCTTCGCTCTCTGCAGCTCCAGCTCGTTGTCCGCATCCCGTAGATCCTTCTCCCTCGTCTTCAAAGCCTTAAGCTTTGCCCTTCGCGCGCTTTGTTCCCTTCTAAGCTTGTGTGTAGCCAGCTGAGCCTGACTTTGCGCTTCTTTCTTCTCCTCGAGTTGCTTGCGAGATTTGTTTACTTTCGATTCGTCTGCACCGAAGCCCGCAGCTTGAGCGCAATCTTCGTCAGCTAACATCTGTTGCGACTCTTTCCTATTGTTCCGTTGCCTCCGATCACTCTCATACTCTACAAACACGGTCTGCTTTCCTGATGGTTGCTCGCTCCCAAGCACACTGACTTCTATCCCGCGCTCCGTCTTCGTCAGAACAATTTCTGATTCTAGCTTTTCAATGGCTCTTCTGGTACTTTGAAGCATAGTTTGCAAATATCCCGAGTCTTGCGTCTTCAACAACTCGGCCGCTTCGTGACTCAAGACTGGATTGCCTCTGTCGACGATCTTTCTCCCGGTCTTCGACTGACTGGAGAGCATGCCATAGTGGAACTCATCTGGATTTCGATCGGCAGCCTTGGCACGGAGGATGTTCAAGCGAGCCTTTTTAGCATTGTAATCACGGGCGCGGAGGGAATAGTCCTAATTAAAGTTCAGAGAAGTACTCCCATTTCGCGTCGCTGTGGAGAGATACTTTGTGCTTTTCCAACAAGCCCCATTTCTCCCGCTCTCGGGGCTGAGCTCTCTCTTTGTGGTTGCGACGTTGAATGGCATTCCTCATCAAAGACATGGTGAAGAATGTTGTTACAGCGAAGAGGATCGAATGCAGTGAAGAGCTGCATGCCAAAAGAGATTGCCAAGCCGCTAAGGGTTTCTTGATTCAGCGGCATCGGTAAAATTATTGTGCCGAGAACTTCAGCCCTACAGATTCGCTTACAAGCAGCATAACCACCAACTATATTGCCCTTCTTTGGAAACAATCTTCAACAAGGCTGAGGCAGACGTAAGTGATATCGAACAAAGCTTTACTGATGATAAAATGCTAATAGGTGGACGTACCTTAGATACAATGCCGACTTCCAAGACCCAGCCGAAAGCCCCTTCCAAGGGCAAATCATCCCGCTCAGCTATCGCCGACGTGGTTGCCCGCGAATACACGATTCATCTCCACAAACGAGTAAGTGCTCACCTAATACTGTGATGTTTATCTTTGGAGTTGCTTTGAGGCATTTTTAGCGCAAAGCTGATGCGTAGGTCACAGTTACACGGCGTGACTTTCAAGAAGAGAGCGCCAAGGGCCATTAAATCAATAAAAGATTTCGCTGTCAAGGCAATGGTAAGCGTTGCGTGGTCCATCGCTACTGCGAGCACTCTCGATCCTCTCTCCCCGACTGATACAGCGTTGACACATCTTAGGGTACGAAAGACGTTCGACTCGATCCTCAGTTAAACAAGAAGGTCTGGGAGGCTGGAGTGAAAGGAGCGCCATTTAGATTACGTGTCAGGATATCACGGAAACGTAACGATGAAGAAGGAGCGAAAGAAAAGCTATACAGCTACGTACAAGCAGTGAATGTTAAAAATCCTAAAGGCTTGACTACGGTAGTTGTGGAAGATGCCTGAGACCGATCGTGATATTAGCATAGCTCGAAGGAGTAGATCAAAGCAGCCGGAAGGCCTTTTCGATTCCATCATAATTCCTAATCTTTTGTTTGACTCTACGGGGTTTCCTAGACGCATCCCATCGCTATGCACCATTCAGAAATACTCCCCCATATCATTGACCGAATATCCCATACCTATGTTCGTAACAAGATCCATATCCTGGCGTCGAGTCATCCTTCGCCATTGTCCATCTTTCGTCAACGAATTTTATACTTATCTTCCACTTGTCGCCTATTTGTCGAATCCAAGCTATTTGTAGCTCCCATGAGTGTCTGCCCAACAGCTTTGCTAACCCCCATAGCGGGCCGCAAGATTACAGTAGGTGCAATTTTCATTATCGCCCGAGCAGCGCCTCCTGCTGTCCCACTCTCCATGATTTCACCTGGCATGGCGATGATCACATCTTTTGCGGCGAGCAAGTCACGCTCTAGGCTAGCGTAGCCGCCACGGAGGCCTTGTATTACGCCAACGGGCTGGTTGGCGTAGAGACTGATCTCCTCTTCTTCCTCTGCATCCACTTCGGCGTCGATCCAATCTCCTAGCCTTTCTGCTTTGTTGTGTCTTGTCTGTTCGCTCAAGAGATCCTCTGCTTCTTGAAGAACTGTCTGCGTCCCAATCGCAAGCTTAGCACCAAGTTTCGTCAATTCACTTGTTGTTGTTTTAGCAAACGATAAGGCTCCCTTTTGGAAACTGCGAACAACCCTCCCATCTTTTCTATACTCGGTAATGGGTACTAGGACTAGATCCCGCACACCATTCCCCATGTTGACTAATGATCGGATAGGGCCAAGGCCGGCAAGCACTCCCGGTAGTTGATTCCGCTTGATATCGGGCATCCAGATGTCGTTCAGAGTCTTACCAAGGCGGTCAAACCCCGAAACCCCATATATAATAACATGTCGTAGAAACATCTCGGCTCGATCAAGAACAAAGAAATTCATGAATTCTGTGGTGTGACCGGAACGAAGACCTGCATAATCGACCCTTTTAGGCTTGAAGTCAAGCTTCACCCGAATTGTATTCACTTCCACGCGTTGGAAGAATGGCAATTCGGTTGTATCTATTGTGGAAAGAGCTGTCTCAGCTCTGAATTCAAAGAACCGAGATAAAAAGTCAAGCGCGTCTTGGTCGACGTGAAGCCGGATGGGAAGGACAGATGCCTGAATGAGAAATTAGAGCTTTCAGAGCACATTGAAGTGCAGGATACTGACCTTGAGGACGATCTCGGAGGCGGCTAAGTCAGGCATTGGTTTCACGTTCGAAATCTCTATGTGGATCATCCTTGTCCCAACCTCCCTTTCGCCAGCGTCTCGCATATAAGTTGCAAATTTTTTCCAGGTTGATGTTGGCAAATGATCGAAAATATCAAGATTCTGTACTCCAATGACTACGGAGCTTTGCAAGTCCCCGGTGTTTGGCGAGTGAACCACAACATCAGCTGAGACCCCCTGAAGCTCAAAAGTCATCTTGTGATACTTGCTGCGGCCTAAGCGAAGGCCTTTAATCATACCAGTTGATTCTGGCTTCCGGCGACTTGGCGATCTTGACGCGGTCGATGTGTCGTAGCTCCCTGTTTCGCTCGCAAGATCGTCGAGGTTGCGACTTATTTGTCGTGTTAAGTCGGCCGGATCAGTCTTCGCAGGGACTCCAATATAGATTGAGTTGAAAAGTATATCGCCAATGACGTTTTCCCCATTGGGTTGAAGGTCTAGGGATCTGCGTTTTTCCATTCGGGAGGTTCGCTCATTCACCCTGGCCTGCACCTCTGCTATGGCTTTACTAATTTCGTCTCTAGTATGCTGCCAATCATACCCATCAAAAAGATTCCAGATGACATGGAAATCGCGAACACGAGCCACCAAGGGGTTGGTTGAGGACTGAAGCCCGTCATTATGCCCATAAGAGTAGCGCCTTGTGGAGGGTATCAACCTATCTGCTGTAGCAGGGCTAGCTGCAAAATAATCATCCCGGAAGTCAAGCGGGTCATTACCTGCCGTCACGTGTGGTAACCCTTCTGAACTCTCCGATTGCTGTCCTTTCTCAAACCCGTCGACCGAGGACTGGCTGCTAAGGTCTTTAAGGTCTTCTTCGAGGATACTGTTAGTCAGGATGCCAGAATCCGTATTGAGGTCGGGACTGTAGAAAGTAGAGACATATTCGAGACTCTGAGGATCGTCATCATTCATCACTACTTCTTCGTCAAGGCTTGAAGAGATAATCGCGTCATCGGACTGATTTTGTCCACTCGTGACGTAAGCATCACCAGTGAACGACGCAAGCATATCTTCTACAGCAACGGCTTCCGTACGGTATTTCAGCTCGGGTTCTTTTGGCTTTGGAACACTAAGACCGTTGAACAGATCTTGCAACGTCTGTGTCGAGTCGGCGCACGATTCAAGTAGAAGAAACCCTCCCTCAATGTCCGCCTCGATCAGACGAGCACTCTGTGCTGTCGTCTCTTTGACCCGAAGATCGAAGGTAGTAGCAGACAAAGTACCGACCAAGACAAACCCTGCTTGTGCTAAGATATCCCTGGTTTTGCCCATTCCAAAGGCGGAAGAGTTTGGGGTTATATGGTCGGTTAGCATCAGATTGGCCTTACTGACTTTGAGAACACTGTGAACTTGAATTTGGCTAGAGGTCGTGGACAATTGAGCCTCCTCTAGCAATAAATAGGCCTTGCTCATGGACTTGCGAGGATTGAGCCCAATGATCAGATCCTTGAGGACCATATCTATCTCAGGAAGACTCGTGTATGTCTCTGGTTCCCCGCGACTGATAGGTCTTGGTTGATTACCGCTTGAAAGGCCAATCTCACCAGGCTGCCGTCCAGTGACAGTAATGACTGAAGCCATCAAGCTAGAAACAAGTTCTTCTTTTAAGATTTTTGCTTGAAAGTCTATGAGCGCCGTTACAGTCGAGACATGATACTCGACACGTAAATCATGCACTCTAACACGAACGACGGGAACCATTTCATTACAGATATATCGAGCCAGTATGACGGGCAGGCCAGGGTCAAGGTCCATGTCAAACGGCAGTGAAGTCCCAATAAGTTGCTCTGAGCCATTGCGATTCACTTCTATACTCTTTAGCCCGATCGCCGCAAGCGACGGAAGGGTCACATGTGCTATTTCTGCATGCTTTGACGTGAGCTGAGCTAAGCCAAAGTCGTCGTCAAGCCATATTCGAAGATTGATAGACTTTACCAAGGTTAGAATGAGGATACCAGGCCGATCATCTTGTGGGAGATACTTTGTAATGGTCGAAAACTTCTTGAGATCTTCCGTAATGGAAAGGAACGAATGAAGCTGCTCGATATTGGCAAAGTCACCATCAAGATGCTCTACCGTTGCACGTAAGGCACCGCCTTGACGGCGTTGTCTGAGCAACGTGTCTACCAATAGGCCGTCTTTAAACTGATCTTCATCTTGCAAATTTGACGGAAAGACAAGCTCGATCAAACGGGCTAGATCGACCTCCTTGGGCGTTGCAAGATACTCTAGCCTCAGATTAGATACTTGCATGGCCGTAGCCACTCTTACCTCATGCTCTAAGGAGCGAGGACCTGCTAAGTTTATTCCATCGATCTGCAGTCCGAAGACCTCAGCTCTGTTTACAATCTTAATAGCGGTGCTTCTGACTTCCACAAGCGCTTGTTGGCCTTGCATTTCCAAGAAAACGCCACTTATCCTCATGTCAATCTTATTCTGGGAGGGACTTCGTGCGTTGGCCAGCGGCATGCGGTGCGCGTGAGCCTCAAAATGCACGCTCCGTTTTGGCTTTATGGAGGGCGTCGGTGGTGCACGGGCTTCTTTTGGCGTGAGAGTGGAAAACATCGAATTTCCCAGTTCGAGCATACTGCTCAGACCACCGAACCAGCCAAATGTCTCATCTAGCCTGCGCGTATCTAGATAGATGTGTATCGGAACAGTCGATATCTCAACAGCCACACCATCACCGGTATTTGTTATGTTCATGACAATGTCTCCTCCAGAAGCGTTATGTACATTTCGAGTGGACTCTCTCATGCTCATACTGGAATCAAAAGACAGTATAGATCCAGAAGAGTAGCCAAAGCTCAGATCTTTGATGATCACTTTCGTTGCTGCTGGAAGTGTCGAGTACTCGTGATCGAAACGAAGCGAAGAGACATCAGCTCTCAGCAAGACCTCAGACTCACCAGAAAGGGCACCCCTGGTTTCCGGTATGATTGAAGCGGAGACAGGGTGATAGCTTTGCACAGAGTCGACGAATCGCCACGAAAACCCCGAGAACGTAGCAGAAAAAGCCTTCTTCGAATTGTCCGCTAGAGCAGGCTGAGAGTCACGATAGTCTGAACCTGTTCCACTAGGTTTCCAATATGATTGTTGGAGAGCAAGAAGTAGAGTTTTAGTAAGTGTCATATCACTGACTAGCTCCAGGCCAACTATTCCGATTTGAATGGCTCGCGAGGGCATGGACTCTCCGGCGGGTTCATCGAATGGGCTTACAGGATTTGGAGCTTGTATTGGTGGAGTGCTAAAAATCGGTACTGTGATCTTAATACTAGCAATGGTACAGAATTGCTTGATCAAAACCAGAGAGCGTTTGGCTTTCCCCGAAGGAATTGAAGAAGAGCTTGAGAGACTAGAACATCTTGATGTCGACTTTTGTGCATCTTCACTTTCCGGTGCAGTGCCTGGCGATCCAGTCAGTGAGTGTGATTGTGACGATCTTGGCGTCGGTATTGAGGCTCCTCCAGCCTCGCGTAAGATAGGATCGATCTCCTGATTGCTTTGGAGGCTCGGGCGCTCTTCGCCACTGATGGTAGTTGAATGAGGTGACATTGATTCATATAGCGATGTTGATTGCTCAATATCTTGACGGCAATCATCGCTGTCGTCGGAGAATGTTGAGTGCCATCCGCCCGGAGGCGCTGGGCTCCCCTTCTTGTGCTTTGGATAGACCCCATCCATTGCGCTCATGTACATGCTTACTGCGTCCTCATGGCTATATAGCCGTGACTGTGCCAGGTCATCTCCATGAGAAGAGCTTGGGCGTCTTTGAAATGGTGGAAAAGGGCCGCCTGAATCTTGAACAGCTCTAATAGATTCGTTACTTTCCCGCGATGAGAGCGTGGACTCTTCGACCTTGGGCAGCTTCGCCCTCAATATGGTCGCCGATGTAGGATCTAAAAGGTTGCCGGTCAGGTCCCCGGGAGATCGTGGGGTAAAGGTAGCCTTGATCTCGGATTTTTTATGAAGTTGATTGTTACCTCTGTCCTCGGGGGTTTCATTTAGGGGTTGCTGCGGCAATTGGACCTGCTCGAAAAGACAGTCTCTGGTGACGGCGGCGACGGGGTTCCAGCAGTTTGAAACATGATGGTCGAGTCTGATACTATCATCAATTTGATTCGACGAATGTCAATACTTCGGAAATTGCCCATTGAGGTAGTTGTTGCATCGCCTCTCAAATTTTCGTTCTCCACGGCCACAGACTTATGCTTGCTCTCGATATTTATGCTACCGATCATGAGTCGAGAAGTGATCTTTTCCGGCTGTCGAGCCGGCTCAGCACCAAGGGCATCCAAACTTATCGGTAGATGGAGGTCTACATGAATATTCTTAATGTCGACTTGTACGCGGTCGGCAACGTCTTTGAGGAAATTCGCTAGAAATGCAGGTAATGACAAATCGCTGCCAAATCCCGTATTGTTGTCTCCTTCGCTTTCGATATCGGAAATCTGAGATTGTTTCAGGTTTTGTGATTGAAGAAGCACCTCCTCCAATTCCTCCTTCTCGTGTTCCGGCTCTGTTTCGAGGAATGACTGAGCAAGCTCGACAGTCGAAGGTATTGGCTGCGAGATATCTCGCGTACCGGCATCGAAGCTTTCCTGGGCATAATCGGACTTTGTACCGCCCGGATCGTGTACGTCTGATTGACTACTCCGAGGTCGATCAGACTTGTACTCTCCCGAGGGGTTTGGGAACCCACGCCTCTCGGTCTTGTCCAAAGGAATCTGGCCGGGATCAGAGTCAAGTTGATGTGCATCCAGCTGTACCTTGACACCGTCAATTTCAACTAAGATGCTACTTTGATGAAGATCGGCAGGGATAGTTAAGCGCAAGAGTATTAGCCTAGCCTCCGATATCGACCACGTCCTCGGGAGATTCAACAATGTGATTAACTTTTGCGTATTAACTCCAACATCTTTCAGTTCTATCGTGCTTCTCTTTCCCCACGAAATGTTTAAATTTTCCAAAGCAAGCGCATCAATGTCGAGTAACTCAAGGCGGGCTAGGACGTAGCGAAGCAGGCGCTTCTGCAGAAAGGATGGAATAAAGTAGGCCATAATGACACCATCAACACATCAACAAAGTCCATGATTGCATCATATTTGCGGTCTTAGGAAGGGTCTCTTTTTGTTGTGAACGTGGGGGGGGATATATCCACGAAGTGGGAAGATTGTCTCCCGCCTTTAAACAATTTCTGTGATGTGCCCGGGTCATCTAAGGGGGAACAGTTTCTTCTCTCGCGCATAGTGGTTCTTTGTGTCTCAACCCCAGTGGACGAGGATAGAGGCGATAGCATCACCTGAGGGTACGGCTTATGATGTGGAGAAGTAGAGGCACAAAAGCTGGACAGAATGTTCTACAGCAGCCATGATGAAAGTTACGCATGACACATTTAGCTTTTTAAAGTTGGCAATGTTGGCACCCTCAAAGGGAGCTAGTGAAGCCTCCCGTCTTCGCCGCAATGTCTTAAATCTCAGATATCTAAATCAAGTCTTCCCTGCACTGACGGAGAAATTAGCCAGCCCGTGCATGACCCAAGGCTTCTCAGACTGTTCTCGACTACCTATATGTCACTACCGCCGTACTGAATTGCGTAATTTTCTACAATCCATTCACAAAACTTGTTCCAGTCCTCCGTCCATTGCCGCATTCTAATTGCTCGAATTCCTTGGCCGTACTTACCATCTGCAATGTCTTTGCCCCACTCTTTGCTACTCTGATCCTCGTAACAAGCCCACCTTACTCCATTCTCAGCAAGAGAGCCGAGTCCCTCCAGTCCAAGATTCTCCCACCCTTGTAATGCTTGCCAGAAATCGTGCGTCACCCCGCTCGACTCGTACCCTAAGACTCCTGGATCATCATTCGAAAGACAACACGGGACACCACGAGAAAGCAAAGCTGGCAATGAGTGAGCTTTTATAGAACTGGTCAGACGCAGGATCTCATTTGAGATCGGACAACATTCAACGAGTATTCTCTTTGACTTTACCATGTCTATGAGCAGTGGATGTCGGTAGAGCGAAAATCCGTGACCTATTCGCCGGGTACCGAGAAGAATGGCGTCGAACAGGTTCTGGTCCGCTTCGTCCCCATCGCCGATGCACTCGCCGGCGTGGAAGAAGAAAGGTATGTCGACGCCGTTCTCTACACATCTCTTTTTGAACCAGAACAATTCAGGCGTCAGGTCTGCCAGTGATCGGCCAGCGTTTTCGTATCCCACGCAGTCAAAACCACAGATGAGATCTGGAAATTCGAGCTTCATTTCGATACAAGACTTCATATGCTCCAACACTTGCTTCCTGCTCCACGATCGTAAAGTCGTCCAAATGAAGCGACAGCCCCAGAACCCTTTACCGTCTTCTGACTCCTGAAAGCTGTGTATCTCCTCCGACCACACTTGTAGAAGATCCATGGAGTGGGGAGACGCATCTTCTTTTCCTTCTTTGAAAAACTTAGAACTGCCAAAGATGCATCGGAAATCCACCCATCTTATGCCGTCTTGAATTAGGTCTTCGAGAAGATGACGGATACTCGCTCGGAGAATAGGCTCATAACTTTGCAGTGCATCCAATGGCTGGAAACAACTTGCAAATTTTTGCCAGATCATATCAACGCCGTGGTAATGCTTTAGAGAATCCTCTGCATTTATGGTACAGATGCTAGTCACCCATGTCTTAAAGCCGTCGAAGCCGCCGTTTGGAAATGCCGCTGCAGCTTCTCTCAAAGGAACAAAGGTATTAGATTTATAGTCCGCCGTCCATATTGACGGACCTGGGTGATCGAAGGACTTCCTAAACCGAAAGAGCACGCTTGCCCGTGCTCGTGCACTCGCGTCTGTTAAAGGGTAATCAGAGCTGATAGCCATTCCCTCCGTTGCTAAAGCCTGCTTGATTAAAAACGCAACGTTCATAGTAGCATCAGCGTGGGCATGCAGCAATGCTCCTTTAGGCATATGCTTGATAATTTCCCATGATTTTGTTTTCTCCATGGTATCTCTGGCCAGGTGGAAGATCATGCCTGGATACATGTCAATGCCCTCCGTTTCAGCCACATCGTGCTGCAACCTTTCTGTCCAGGTTGTTCTACGCTCCTCGGCCAAAACGCGAGATACGATAGCGCAAGCTTCCACAGCAAGTGGCGTTAGAGATTGACGGAATGCATTGTCACTTCGCTTCATTTGCTCCTCTTCGATCAAAGCCTCTCTCCCGCTAAGCCATTGCTGAAGGAAAGGGTCCGAAAGTTGGGGTAGACCCTCTTCAGCTTCCCAATCCGAGATGTCATCAATTGCATCAGATTCCGGATCAGGCATCTCAACACGCGACACGCTCTACAATTGAAGCCTGGGCTTGAAGCGTCCGAGACTGAATGCCGACAATGTGTACCTTGTCGATAGCTTGGCAGGACAAGGCACAAGTGAAGAGACCCTCAACCGGTTGCCTTATTCTGGTGCTTATGCCGCAAACCTTCCTAGAAAGGCTGCCAAGACCAGGATGCCAAAGGCTTCTGCAAGTCAACTGATAAGAGCCCGGAGATGATGCACCTCTAGGCTTCAAACAGCCAATTGCATCAATGAAGTTGCCCGAAGATAAGGTAGAGTTTTCGGCCTTGGCCGCTCGGAGAGGGTGCCGGGGGATAAGGTAAGGGTGCAAGGGGGTATGGGAGCTCCAATCTGGCCCAGATATATACTTGCTCTCCGGAGGCCAATGCATCCTATGTCTCTCAAAAGAGTCGAAAGAATTGCACCTTGTGATCCATGGCCTCCCCAGAAATCGAGAAACGCCGCGAGGACCAGCGTCCCAGCTCTCAAATCGAAGATACTGTTCCCCAAATTCTAGGCCCGCAATCATCCAAAGGTCCTCCATTAGGCAAAGACACGCATGACCATAACAAACCTAGCAGTGCGATTGAAGAACATGGGACGAGAACCCATGCCTCTTCAAGTATCTACGAGAAGTACAAACCAGTCTTCCATCTGTTCATCTGGCTTTTGTTCACTGGGTAGGTCCATGTTTCTTTTGGGATATGTAATGACCTTGCATTTTTAACGCTGTCAGGTGGTGGATAGCGGGACTCTGTTTGCACGGAATCCATGATTCGACAGGATCACGGACAGGATGGCTCAAGCCCTTTCTTGTGTGGCTTGCCATAACCCTGCGCTTCGTGTTTTTCTACGTTCCCATCACCGTAATCACAAAGCCGATGCACTGGGTCTGGACCAATACTGGCGTCCGGTTTACAGCACTCGTTCCTGAAAAGCTCAGGCTTCCACTCAGCGGTGCCTTCGTAGTCGCTGTGTTCCTGATCGGAGGCTTCGCAAGCGCTGAGAGTAAAGATAACACTCGTGCCAATCGCGCGGTTTCCCTTTTTGGGCTTGCTGTGATCGTCTTTGCCATGTGGGCTACCTCGAAGAACCGAAAAGCCATCAAGTGGCACACCGTCATCGTGGGGATGCTCATGCAATTCATCATTGCTCTATTCGTCTTGAGATCTACCGCAGGGTGTAAGGTCCATGGATTGCTTGCAGAACTACCATAGGTGAAACTGACGGCACTTCAGATGACATATTTGCTTTTTTCTCCGAGCTTGCAAGGGATCTTTTAGGCTTTGCTAAGAATGGTATCGCCTTCTTGACTGACAAAGATGCGTCGAAATTGACTTGGTTTTTAATCACCGTCCTTCCAGCTGTCGTCTTCTTCATTGCATTAGTCCAGCTGCTCTACTACAACGGCATTCTGCAATGGTATATCATCCTTCTATCCAATTTTGAATCCTCTAAAAGTCCTCTAAATTATTCTAGGTTCATCGGCAAGTTCGCCATCTTCTTTTTCTGGACACTGCGTGTTTCGGGCGCCGAGGCAGTTGTCAGTGACCCATTCCAGAACGAATTGTCTCGAAGTCTACGCAAGGGTTACAATGCTGACTCTGCAACCTGTTCCAGGTCGCCAGTGCAAGTCCCTTCATAGGGCAAGGAGAATCGGCCATACTCATCAAACCTTTTGTTGAGTTCTTGACCATGGCGGAATTGCACCAGATTATGTGCTCTGGCTTTGCTACAATCGCTGGCTCTGTTCTTATTGCCTATATTGCTCTCGGTGTTAATGCTCAGGCTCTCATCTCTTCCTGTGTAATGTCTATACCTGCCTCCCTTGCCATTAGCAAGCTTCGATATCCGGAGACAGAAGAAACCTTAACCAGCGGTCGAGTCGTTATTCCGGAGGTTGATGAGCACAAGGCCACCAACTCTTTGCACGCGTTCGCAAACGGTGCTTGGCTCGGCTTGAAAATCGCCGGCATGATACTGGCTACCCTTTTGTGTATCATTGCCATTTTAGGACTTGCAGATGGTCTTCTGACCTGGTGGGGAAGATATCTCAACATTAACGACCCTCCTTTGACTGTCGAGCTTATCGTTGGATACATTTGCTACCCCATTGCTTTTCTCCTTGGAGTTCCCCGAAATGGCGATCTTTTGAAGGTCGGACAGCTGCTTGGGACGAAGCTGGTCGTCAACGAGTTTGTTGCTTATTCAAATCTGCAGACTGATCCTAGATATGCCGACTTGAGTGCAAGGTCGAGGCTCATTAGTTCGTATGCTCTTGCTGGATTCGCTAATCTAGGAAGTCTCGGTACCCAGATTGGAGTGCTCAGTCAGATAGCCCCTGGGAGAACCGGGGACATTAGCAAAGTGGCTTTCAGCGCTCTCATCGCAGGCGCCGTAAGTACACTGACTAGTGCAAGCATCGCAGGCTTGTTGATCCAAGATCAGGCGGCCTATTTCAAACCTAGTGCTGCTAGCGGTTGATTTGCATGGGGAAGAGTTGGCGGATACCAAATTGATCTTTGAAAAGGCTGTGGGTTTGGACCGTAGGTCATTTACTGCAAGCTGTTCTGGAGTCTACGCAGCCTATCCTCGTCGAAGCATGAGAGCTTCTCAGTCTGTGGTGGTATCGATGCCTTGCGGAAATCTTGCATCATCATCTCTGATGTCTGTTACAGATCGAACAGCCCAGAGCTCGGCGGACCGCGTTCAACCTGCAGCGGAGACATTCTCGTGGTTGTCTGACGATACAATTTTCGAACAGATGCCAAAATCAACAAAAACCAAAGAGAGTGTGTGGTATCCAGAGGTGAGCTGACGCTCTGGGTCATGAGCGCAAACATTTGTCGCTCTGACGCACGCTATGAATATGCAGTAAGTCTACTCTGGAACCGATGAAAATGCTGCAAGGCTCTATGGTAATAATGGCCCATATCCATTCAACATCTCAAGACTATTCAAACCCAGCGTCGCCCGATGCTGTCGAAAATGTGTTCGTCACCTAGTCAGAATTCACTCCTCAGTCAAATCCTGGTGCCGAGCTAAAACCAGGCGCTGGAATTCGGCAGCATCTTTATCCCACAGCTCCGCAGCCTGCCCGTTTAATGGACTTGCACTGGAGCATAGAGTCAGTACAAGCAACTGAAAAGAACTGATTCAACATCGAACGTACTTATTAGGCTCATCGAGCAAGCTCTGGAGACTGAGCAGAACACTCTGGACATTGTACACCGCACTCCACTTATCCTTGAGGATATCTAAGCAAATCCTACCGGAAAAGTCGACATTTGGATGATATATTGGTGTCTTGAAGAGTACGGTTGGCGGTGCGTACGGGTAACTGGAGGTGAATTCGAAGGAGAGCTTGAACGTTAAATTGGCGTATGGGGTGTCTGCAGGGCCAATGATTGTCGCGGTCCAATGCATGAGGTTCTCGGGTGATGAAGGAAAGGCAGAGATACCGGGTGTAGGATGAAGCATCAAATTCATTAATTCTGTCTGGAGTCTTGAGCGAGGATCGTCAGTACGGATTCCTAGAGAGCGCCCTAAGACTTGAGGCAGGAGGCTTTACCGTTTCGTCACACTTTGCGCATCTTGTCGCCGCGGAGCATTCGATAGCTTCGAAGTCTCGTGAGCTGTGGGCTGACCTGGAGCAGAGTTCTGAGTGTCCTCCATTGCGTAATCCGCCATGACGGACGGGCTTGTAGTAAAGACCGTGTTACTTGCAGTAGGTTCGATCTATGTGGTCTCCTCTGGCCTGTCCTTGAGTCAATTCTCCTCTTGCAAAGTAGATGCAACAAGTGTAATATTGATGATGAATGGTGTTGAATGATAGGGTTGAGGGAGCGATTCTCTCTCTTGGATTCCCCACTGCTTGTTTATATTATTTAGAGTGTCGGACAGGCAATGGGGAAAACGCCGTTATCTCCGAGCACGCGAATCGGCTGCCGCCATTTGTCTCCATAAGCTTTCAGACCCCCTGCTTAGGGGGAACTAGCGCCCTTACAGGGGCCTTCTAGGCTTCCCCCGCAGGGGGTCTGCATCGGAAAGTCTAGGAATTCTGTATTTTTAATTAGCAATACTAAGGCTATACTAAAAGAAAAGCTAGCTAGCAAAAAAATAGTATATTTTAAACTATATACTTTCTAAATAATATTTTATTTATAATATTATCTAACTATAAGTTTATATATTTATTTATTTTTTTTACTTTTTATATAATATATATTGTTTTTTTACTTATTTTCTTTAAAGTTTTATTAAAATTATTATAAAAACTTATTTTAATATAAATTATAAAAATATATAAATAAAGTAATATTTGCTATTTTTTACTTTATTTTAACTATAATTTATATAATTTTTTATTAAAAGTATAGGTAGAAAACTTTATTTATTACTTACTATATATTAATTTAAATATTTTATTTAAAATTTTATTATAATATAAGCTTAAAAGTATATATATATAATAATATATAATTATTTTATAAATTTTATAAATTTTAATAAAAATCTATATAATTTTAATAAAAATCTATATAATTTTATTATTAAATTAGTAATAGAACCTTATTTACTACTAGTTATATATTTTACTACTTTAAATAATACTTTAAAATATTTACCTATTGCCTTAGTAAAAAAGTGAAAATAAAGTAAGTTTATTATTTTTACTATTTTATTATATATTTATTATTTATAATTACTGCTTATAATTATTAAAAAAATAAAAAATAAAAAAATTTATCTTATTATATTAAAATATTAAAAAAAAAATTTATAAATATAATTTTTTAATATTATTATTATATAATATAAAATAAGTTTTAATAGTAAATTTACTCTTTTTATTATTATTTATAATAATAAAACTATTTAAAATAAAACTAAAATAATTAAATAGAAATTATAAAAAAATATCTTAATTTTAATTTAAGATTATTATATTTATATAAGAAAAAAATAATATTACTAAAAGAATTATTAACGATATTTATAAAAAATAGAAGCTTAAAGAATCCTCTATTAATATTTTAATTTTATTTATTAAAATAGCTAAAATAAATTTAAATATTTCGCTATACTAAGTTATATTAGCTATAGAATAATAATAATAGCTTCTTTTTTTTTAGTAGATTTTTAACTTACTATTAGTTAAAATAATATATATTTATATTATAAGTTTTATAAATATAATATAATATAAATAAAATTAACTTTTATTAGTTTTAACCTAATATAATAATATAAATATTCTTTTTTTATTTAATTATTTATATTTTTAAATATAAAAGGCTTATATTTTTAAAATAATAGATAATATTTATTAGATTCTAATAAATAAAGTAGTATTACTTATATAAGCGCCTAATAATACTTAGGCTTAAGTTAATAATAATAATATATTATATAATAAATTTAGTATTATAATAGTTTATATATATAATTTAAAATTTATTATTATTTATAAAAAGCTATTTTATATAAATATATTAGCTTAGGATAGTAAAAAAAGCTTAATTACTAATATAGATTTATTATATAAGTATTTTAGCTTATACTACTTTTATTAAAAATATTTAATTTATAAATACTTTATTATTTTCTTTTATACTTACTAAAGTATTAATAGCTTTTAAATATATTATCTTTTAAAAATCTTTTAATATATAATTAGACTTTAAATAATAATAATAATAATATAAAAAATAAGTAAAACAGTAAAAGTAATAAAAATAAACTATTACTAAATAGTTTTCTTCTAATAAAGTTTTAACTAATCTTAATTTTATAGTTTTTAATTTAAATAGAAAATAAAAAAGCTATAATATTTTATAAATACTTTATTTAGATTTAAAAGTTTAAGAAGTAAAAATAAATAACTTAAAAGCTTAGCTATAAATAATATTTTACCTTTTATACTAGAAGTATTAATAACTATTCTTAATATTAAATTGCAAATTAAATTATTTTTTATTAATAATATATTTAATTATAATAATATTAATATATATAAAAATACTTTAGCTAATAATATTTAAAAAAAATAGTAAAAAAAGTTAAAACCCCTACTATATTATTTAATTTAAAAACTAATTTATTATTATTTAGGTTTAAAGTACAAATAAATATTCTACTAGTAAAGTATCTAGATATAGACTTAAAACTAAAATTTTAGTTATTTTATAAATAAATAGTTAGTAATAACTAAAAAAACCTAAAATTATATATTAATATTATAATACTATTAAAGCAATTTTAAGCTTTTAATACTTTATATTGTCCTTCTATACCTAAATATATATAGCGGCTTAGCTTAATTATTAAATATTTTCTAAGTCTAAATAAGCTATATTATATATTTCTTAATATAATTAAACTAAGCTAATAATACTTTAGAATATAATAATTTTCATAATACTCTACTTAAGCTAATAGCCTTTTTTACTTAAATTTAATTAATTATAATAAAAAAGAATATAATATAATTTAATTCCCTTAGTTTTATACTATATAAATAATAAATTAAATATTTATATAATAGAAAAAGATTAAAATATTTAATATTAATATAATAAAGATTTGCAATCCTAATAAATAGTCTAGCAAGGTAAATTAATTTTAAAAATTGTTTTTTAAAACTTATTTTTTCTTTAAAATAATAAATTTAATTATTATAATAATTAGAATTTTAGTTAGAAAATGGAGCTAGTTCTTATATATAATAAACTATTAAATAAAATAATTATTAATTATAATTAGCTTAGAAAAATTTAAAGTACTAGTTTTAGAATATAAATATTATATATAAGGAGTAATAATATACTATATAAGATTAAAAATTAAGACTTATTATTATAAATTAGTTTTAATTATTTAAGACTTAACTATAAAATAATAAAAGCTACTTTTTTAAAATACAACTAAATAATTAAAGTATTATAATAATAATACTAGGGTTTAGTTTTATTTTTTAAAATAAAGTATATATATTAAAAAGAAGTAGTACTAGAGTACTAGTAAATATTAATTAATACTAGGAAATTTTTAATTAAAAAATTTAAATATAAATATTTTTCTTATTAAATATAATATTTAGGAATAAATTAAAAGATTTTTTAGCTATATTTTATATTTTAAGGGTTAAAAATAACTAGAATAATAAAGTATATTATTTATATCTTATTTTTTATATAAATATTAAAATAATAGAAAAATAGTACTATTAATTTTTTTTATAGAAATAGTTATTAATAATTTAGACTTTAAATAGTTCTAAGAAAATATAAATATAATATTTATATTAATTTTTACTTTTTAAAATAAAAAAATTTTTAGTTTAATAATAAGCTTTTAGTAAATAAATTATTATTTTCTTAGAAGGATAGGAAAATAAGGATTTCTAGTTAATAATATTAAAATAAAATGTTAAGAGTCTACTTAGAGGTGAAAACTAGCTCCTAAGGCCTAAGAAAGACAAGGAGAACTAAGATAGAGAACTAGCTTTATCTTAGGCAGAAACCTTATTTATATACTTAATAAATATTGCTATATATTAACCTTTTAGTCTATATATATTTATTTTTATATAAGAGTAGTTTGCAATACTTACTAAGCCCTTAATATTACTATTTCTATATAACTAGGAGGGATATAATCTAGATTATAATAGTATCCTTTCTTTCTATTAAAATATATCTTTATATTAGTTATAAGTAGTTTAAAGTATAGGTAAAGCCTTATATTAATTAGGGAGTTAAACCTTTTAATAGTTATTAAAAATTTAATAATTATATATTTTATTCCTATATCCTAGTTTTTTAATAGAATAGCTAGGTAGCTTTATTATTAATTATAGAGAATATATTTTTAGAAGATTTAAACTAAAATAAAAGTTATACTTAAGTATTCTAACAAATAATTCTTTTTTAGTTTTATTATATTTTTCTATTTAGCTTAAATATTCCTTTAATAGTTTTTAGTTTTATTAAGCGATCCTATAGTATAGTTAGTTATATCCTAGTTTTATAGATAGAATATTTATTAATTAATATTTTATATAGTTAAGACTAAGGGACTAGGTTTAAATTTTAATAGGGTTAACAAGTTTTATCCTATAGTACTAGCTTTTTATTAATAGTAAGAAATAAATAGTTTAGCTTAAGATTAGCGTTAGAAATAGCTATAGCTTAGCTTTTTAACTAATCTTTTACTAAAAAAGATTAGTTTAAAACTAAGCTAATTATAGCTTCCTTTTATTTTAATATCTTTTTTATACTTTAACTTTAGCAAAGAAAATAATATTTAAGTTAGTTAAAAATAGTTAAAAATCGCATTAGAAAGTTATTAAATAATAAGCTTATAATTATAATAAGTAGGGAATATTAAGACTTTGCTATTATTACTATATTGCTATTAAGTTTTTTAGCTTATATACTTTTATAATTAAGATTTTGCTTTTTTATAGTTTAGAAAAGTAGGACTATAATATAAACTTTACTATAACTATTACTAAACTAAACCTTTATTAGTATATATATTAAATACTTTTATACTTTAGGTTTAGAAGTTACTTTATATATTCTTTTTCTATAGTTTTTTATAATAATAAGTCTTATAATATAATTAGTAATATATATATAGTTCTAGGAGTTAAACTTAATAGGAAGCTAGTTTATATTAATAGT